TATATTTTCCCTTCGCTTTTGTATTTGCAAGCTGAAGTCTATTATTTAACCTAACCAGAATTTGCTGTGTGTCTCAACATTTCAGCAATTTTATAATGTGGCAGTGTGTTAACTGTTAAGCAGGTGCTTCAGTTAAATTTTCCTCCTGTAGCTGCTGAAAACAAATGCTTTTCTTTTCTTCAGTTACTGGTTCATTAGCTGAGACATGTCCTGGAGCAATAGTAGATGTTTTATTTGTATGGTGATTGTCAAAGAGAATGGTGTTTCTAGTTGAATGTCTTAAACGTTCAAACTTGGAACCAACATTTCTGTGGATGACTTCAATAGTGAATGCATGATTTTCCTGGGCATGCTGCTCTTGCTTAATTTGCTGGTGTGTAATACAATAAATTAACACATAATATTGTCAAAAATGTATTAAACCAGAGCAAGCCAAATAATGCAGTCCATTTCCTTTAGACTGATGGCTGACAAAGAAAGATACTGTTATATGACTTGTGTTGTGATTATGGTGGTTGGGCCTTTTGCTGAGCAATGAGTGATTAATGTTCTTTATTAAAAGCCCCTAATGCTTCTTGATTGCTTTAAAGCTCCCTACCTTTTGATTTTTTGATACTCTTTAGTTCAGCCCCCTCCCCCCGACAAAAAAAAAAAACCCCAAAAAACTGGTACCCTCCAGTTCTTTTAGAGTATACATGGTAGGCATGTCATGAGTGGAGCCGACTGGAACCCGGGGTCAGATTGGATGGTCTGGGAGGCCCCTTCTGACTTGCTCTGCTTCTTTGTTTCTATGCCCATTGGCTATGCTATCTGAAGCTTATGGGAGTTGTAGTCTGGAGGACACTAGATTGGTGAAGCCTGCTTTAGCCAGAGAAATATGTGTGAAAATTCAGGAATACATTAGAAATAACAAAAGAATGAAGTGTTTTAATATGCATTGTCCGATGGACAAGAAACATTGTAATATAAAGGCACATTTTATATTGAATTGGTCAGTTATATTCCTATCAAACAACACTTCTTAATAGTTCACAACATTCACTGAAGATGAAACTCAGTTGCTGAGGTTTAGTTGATAGATCACAAACTGTTTTTGCAAAAGCATCAGGAGTAAAATTAAAGAACCTCAGCAATCTCTTAAGAGTCCTCCACTGATTGGTATGTGATTAATGAAGACAATAACTGATTCAAAAACAGCTTCTCAGTCCTGATATTAGGGCAAGTGGACACATTTCTAGGAGAAACCTTAATCTTTGAGCTAGAGCTTTTACATTTCAGCTTCAGTTTCTATAACAACAAAACTTTAAAACACATCTTTCAGATCATGCTTTGCAGGTCACATAATTTGATCATTTAAAGTAACATAAGAGGTGATCCTTGTTCAAATCCAGTATTATGTGAGGGGATGTCATGTGGAGGAGGGCCATGACCTGTTCTTCCCTGTAGTGGAGGGCAGGAAGTGTTCCAGTGGGACCAAATTCAAGGAACTAGGCTTCAGGCTGGATGTCAGGAATTACTTCCTGACAGTTAGGACCCCTAGGAAATGGAATGGGCTTCCAAGGGAGGTAGTTGAGGCCCCATCAGTGAGGGTGTTCAAGGAATGATTGGGCAACCACATGTTGGGGAATGCATGAGCTGAGCTGACTGGAACCAGGGGTCAGACTAGATGGCCTGGGAGGACCCTTCTGACTTGCTCCCCCCCACCCACCCCCATTTCTATATTCTATGTTTCTATTCTCTTGTGAAATAAAAAAGAGGATCAGACATTATTCATATTGCCTCTCTTTTTAATTATGCTATGTTTTTCTGCAACAGTTATTTTATAAGATGAAAATTCAAAACCTTATCTGCTTCTGTGTTTATGACATGTATATCCTAGCTACTAGACTTACATAGTCATTCATCTTTATGCTATGGTGGTCACATTTTCCTGTTGAGTTCTTTTGACCAGAGTTTTTTCTTGGGCATTTATCCTTTGGTGGAACTGTCATCAAATAGAGCTTGTTGTTATGGGTTATTCAGGCTTGCAAAAGGACCTCTTACACAGAAGAGGGGTGTTGTGTTGGGATGGAGAAAACTGAAACAGAGTAATTGTCTTTATTGTAATTTTCAGATGCACTTCTGTAAATTGTATTATATTGATTCATTGGGGGAAAGTACTAGCACTGCATTGTATAATACCTGGTACTTAGGAAATGTTACTATGTTTTTCCACTACTTGCGACTTGCTCTGTGTTGTGCTTAGGATGAATATTGCTTCTTGTTCCATTATGTTTTTCCAATTATTCACATACCCTGTGTATGCAGTTCTAAATGACAGCACCTTGATGTAGGTATCTGTATGAAAAAATAGGTCATTATATTTAGTTAAAAAGCCTTCAGTGAAGCATTGCATCTGGGGCAAATTCAGAATTTTGCAAACCAAATATGCAGAGCTTCAGCAACAGTGACTTGCTTGGCTGAGGCAGTGCTTATAGAGTTCTGGGAGACCTTAGCAGTATGTGGTCTGTATACTCTGTTTTTATTGGTCTTTATAATGACACTAAACATATATTCCTGTTTTTTCATACAGAGTGGTGCTTTTTGCCTCATGGTCATGAAACAGAATGGCTTGGATGTCCATTTTTCCAGTTTTGTCATTTAGGGTGTAATACTATCAAGATGAGCACGAGTCTCCAAACTAAGAGGCATGCACTCATTCATTGCAGAGTGGGAGGAGCAATGGAGGCAATGGCATCTAAGAAGGAGACTGGGGAGGGGGACTCTGATTCCCAGCCGTAGCACCATTCCCTCTATATTCATTAAATGGAGCTGGAAATACTATTTCAGAGTTGCAGCCATCAAGCTGTCTGGGCCAGTTGTAGGATCTAATAGCAGCCCCTCTAATGGAGAATTTGCCTGAAGTGATACACCTCTGTGAAGTAACCAGAACTTTTCAGTAATGGTTATAGTCTATCAGAATTTCCTGTCTGTGTAGGTTCAGAGGTTCCATCCTTGTAAAACTTATAAAAAGTAGACCAAAACAATTCTCTGAAGACAAGTCCTTGGCCTTGGTAAAACTGTAATTTTTAAGTGTGTTCTATAAACCGAATTTGCATTGTTGGTTTTATATATATCCTCTGAATATTGAAAGCAGCCACTATTATAAAGGAGGCATGATTCTTTTTTGTTCTATTGTGCCCTAATTCCTTTCAGGTGTCTCATACATTGCATCACTAATTGCATTGACCCAGATGTGTTTCATCACCAAGTTGTATTGTAGCAATGTTGTTCATTGTATTAATTGTTGAGGTGTTCTTTCAGTTTGATGGTGGTAACCAGTGTGTTTAGGCCAAAATCCTTTTATGTATAGGAAGTGAAATATTCATATGCAGGATTGCAGATGATTGATCAGCAGTATCTGGGAGCACAGCTGAAATGGGATTGGTATGCTGTTTGCACTCACTCTTTATTTGTTTTGTTCACCAAGTAGACACCAAACCTCGTATGTATTGTACATGTGTGGTTTCAATTGTTAGCACTTTTCTTCCAAAAACCAATTTTATTTGAACATGCTTAGCATCCAGGGAATTATACAATTTCTGCAAGTTGTGCAGATTGTTAGGCTACAATCCTATGGACACTTACCTCAGAGTGAGATGTGTTGGAGTTAATGAGACTTTCTGTTGAGTAAACTTGTATAGGATTGCACTGTACCAGCTCTTTATGCAGCATTAATCATGGTGAGATGGTGGAATGAACAAAGGAAAACTGCTGGTATAGTTTCAGCATCTGTAACCCAAAGGTTACTGTTTCAGCTTACTGCTTCTGATGCAGAAATTCTGTTTACATTGCTGCCAATCATGAGCTAGTGTTTGAAACCACCCAAAGTATTGATCACACCTTTCAAAATCAGATGTTCCAAGTAGGAATAGGCAAGGTAGTTATTAAATTAAACCTTTCAAAAACAATTTGAATATCGAGAGGGCATGTGGCTATAATTGCTGATTTGGATTATCAGCTTAATACATGCAAAATGCATGCATGTATCTTAATGTATCTTTGAGTCTCTTTTTGGTGTGAATACTTAGTTCAAGAAGCTGCTAAATAAACTGGTTTCCTGTTATGTCTGAAGGGAAAACTCTGGTCAAAAACTTCAGATCAAGCCACATTCTTCAACTATGGTTCCAAGTTGGTGTAGTGTGTTCCAAAACTGCTAACCATAATTTCCTGGTTAAGATGAAATAGGAAACCATGGTTAATTAGAGGTTCCCTGTTTAATTGTTCATATCATGAAGAAGGGTTGTATGCAGGGAAAAGTCTTGTTCATATTGTGGTATATTAAGCCAAGATATGATGTGGGCCAGTGATTTGGAGCTTTCTTTCACACACACTGTTGAGAGTGAGCCAACTATCCATTTACATTAAGGTTATAATGTTTAATGTCTCCTCACAGGTTCCCAGAACTCTGTGCATTTGGAAAAGAAAATCTTTTTTCTTAATTATTGGTGTCCAGTGATTGATTTTTCTTAAACCCATTTGGTTTAAGACTATTATTTAAATCTTAGTTAAGGGCAATTTTCATAGTAAAAAGTTGTCAAAGAGCCCAAAAGTAATCCTGAGGTGAAACTGGAAATCTTAAGTGTATTGAGTAATTTAATCTTAATATTGAAGCTTTATAAATGTCAAGAGGTGCCTGGTGATTTTATTGCAGCTTCAAAGTGGTTTCTGCATCAGTAATGCTGGAAATGGCTCTCCTTACTCTGCAGTCTAGTAGGTGTATTTAAAGCATCCATATTCCGAATTCACACTGCAAAGGCAAATGGCAGAGTGAACACTTGCATCAGTCTGTGTTGGAGCATCACTTGCAGTCTGTCCTGAGTTAAAGTCAGCTTCTAAAAATAAAATCACTTGAGTACAATTTAGGCTGCAAATATGAAATTGCAGAACATCTATGTGAGATGTTTTCATTGCCATTATTTGCCTTTTGGTGATGGGCTTTGTTCTTATTTTTGTCACAGTGATCACATGGAAAATATTTCTGGCTATTTAATGAAATACACAAACCTTGTCACAGGCTGGCAGTATCGGTAAGTCTGCTTTTTTATTATTTCCTAATTGAACTTGATGAAATGAAGTTGCTTTAATTGCCTATCAGAGATTTGTTTTAGAATACTGAAATACAAGAGGGTTGACTTGTTTTAGTTTTAGAAATGGATAAGCAAAGTGTAGGTATAATCAGATATGTTGCAACAATAATGGCTGGGGTTTTTTTTAATAAGTTCTTGATTTCCTGAGCTTGATGTTGTACTTAACCAGTAGGTTTATTTACCTTTCAAGTGTTAGAACAGAGGAAAACACTTGAAAAACCATATCACAGCACAGTTAGTATTGGAAGCAAAGTGCAGGTATGAGGCATGTTTTGGTTTCATTCTCAATGCTGTATTTTTATAAATTGTGTATGCACATTATAGAAAATTGAATCCCTACTAGCATTTATAACTGATATTCTGAGGCACAACACAGAGTGTGCTTATTGTACAATCCTATACATGTCTACTCCAAAGTAAGTAGTAATGTTTCCAGTAGTTCTTCCTCCCAGTTAAGTATGTGTAGGATTGTAGCCTTAAAGTATAGTTATAGCAACTACAAATTGTGATGAAAATTTGGGAGAATTTGAAAACAAGGCTTGATATATTTGTGTTTTCACAAGTGCATCAGGGATGGGATGCTTACAACACTCATCTTTCTTTGTACCCAAAAAGCTCAATTATATAAAGGTTTGAGGCTTGGGGATGCCTTCTTTCAAGTTTTATAAGCTATTTCAAGTACACAGTGAATCAGAAATCCCCCCCCCCCCCGTGTATGTTTGTGTGTCTGAAGTTAGTAATTGACCTTCTCATTCTTCCTTGATGCTTTAAAAATACTGGGTTGTTTTTGCTGAACCTTTAGAACAGCATGCCACATATTCATACATATTTGCCAATGATGACGTTTTTATTGACTGAAACTTTATTTTCCAATAAAAATAACTTCTGTTTATAATGCAGTAGCTCTCTCTCTCTGCGTGTGTGTGCGTGCGCATGCCACTATATTTCCTTAGTGCTAGTGACACTATTAGTATCACAGATGACCCTTTCTTTGTCCAGCCCTACTGCTGAAGACTCCTTTATTTATTTTTAATCTATTTTATTGGATATTTTCTCGGTAGCCATACCTGATAAGCACAGAACCCATATTTAAATATATTTGCTTGGGACCAAACCACATATGGTGTGAGGGATCCATGACTGGATTTTCCAGCCTTTTACAATTAATATTTTAAAACATAAACAAGACTCTGAATTTTATCCAAGCATCAGTGCTGAGTGAAAAATACTTAACCCTTCACTCTATCTAGTCTAATTTGCCCCACTTTTAAGCCACTTTTAGATCTACAATAGAGAAAATACAAGTACTGTGATCTGATCATGGCTATTCCACATCATGCAGTTTGGCAGTGAGTAATATAAGAAATGAGATTGTAAAATGCATCTCTAGCTTAATCTACTGGTTGTTGGGAGCTAGTGCAAAATAGGGAGGGGGAATGAACAGTACTTTAGAAGGTGCGCAGTCACAGCTGCATATTATTTTCTGGCTATTTGGTCACTTGAAAGCCTAGCTCCTACACATTGGAAAAACAGGCCTCAGTAGTATTCCTGGTTTTTCAGCTCTTTATGAGTTGTGTAGAGTAGCCAACTTCTGTGTGCATTAATGCAGACATCCTCTTGTTGACTGTCTTTTTAAAGAATGTGCTGGGTTCCATTCCAACGAGAGGAGCATTTCAGAGGAAAACAAAGAAAGTGCCCTTGAGCATCTGCACAGTTTTATTTTGACAGGAGAGCTTGCTTGTCTGTCCAGAGACTGTTGCTTCACATGTCTTGAACATCCAGAGCACTCACGTTTGCATGATACAGAAACCCACCCAGCAAATAGTGTTCAGGCTTACCTTAGGTTGTTTACCCTCTTTCTCTCCAGTCCTTCATCCAGTATTCCAGTGCCCTTTGTGGTAGAATTAATATTTTCCTCCTTTCCCTGCTCAGATTTCAACCCCATTTTCATTTATCAATTTGCTTTGGCATCAGTGGAGGAGTTGTCACTGGCTGTCACTGGCAGTGCCATAGGCAATCTTGCCAAGAGTGGCCAGAGGCTTTTGCTGCAGTAGTCAAGTGACTTGCTTGCCACTTCTGCAACGCACAACAGAATCAGTCCTTCCGTTTCAGATGACATGCAGATACATAATTGGTTCAGTAAAGCCTACCAGTGTGGTGTAGTGGTTAAGAGCCTGGGACTGGGACTCAGACGATCTGGGTTCTAGTCCCCACTCGGCCATGGAGCCAACTGGGTGACTTTGGGCCAGTCACAGACTTTCAGCCCAGCCTACCTCACAGGGTTGTTGTTATGGGGATAAGATGGAGGAGGAGAATGATGTAAGCTGCCTTGAGCCCTTTGTAGGAAAAAGGCAGGATAGAAATCCAAAAATAAATAAAATAAATAAATGAGTTGTCAAGGTGAAGTGATCTGAAGGCGGACAACAAAGGGTCTCCCAGCCCTCTGGAACAGAGTATTAGCAGATGCAAGGGGAGGACCGTATGGGCAGACAAGGTGACTTTCGACTTGGGTTGACATGAACAGGAGTAAAGTTGGACGCAGGCTGTATTTGCACATTTTCCTTAGATGTTTGCAAGAGCTGCTTGAAATCACATTTTCCTTACAATTATAGGTATTTTGTCTTAAACAATGAAGCTGGCCTCTTGGAGTATTTTGTAAATGAACAGTTCAGAAACCAGAAACCTAGAGGTACCTTACAACTTGCCGGAGCAGTTATATCCCCTAGTGATGAAGATTCTCATACCTTCACGGTGAATGCTGCTAGTGGAGAGCAATATAAGCTGAGAGGTAAGACTTTCTAATTCTTGGGTTGCAATATGCAGTTTTCCCACTAGGGAGCAATCTTGACTCTTCATTGCCTCTTTTCTGTTAGCTGACTTTGTTTTATATGAGTTTGGCAAGATACTTCGTGCAAATTAATGCCTTGGAAGTGTATAGTACCCTCTTGCTTGCACAGTTGTGTGCGGTCTCTCTCTCTATCAAGACATTTTCAAAACTGTTGAAGCATCTATGTCCAGAAATCATATTAGTCAATCAGGTTATCAAAATAAACTGTTTGGAGAGGGTGGTGCCTTTATTTATGTTGCATTTTCTGGCCTATCAATATACTGTAAAACTCAAAATGTCTTTCCCAAAAAGCATAGAAGAAAAAGGATATGTCTTGACATTTTACTGGTTGACTAACTCAAAGTTTGGAAAAAATGATTTAGTTAATAGAATGGTCAGTCAGTCCCTGTAGGTAAAACTGTGCTTTCCCTATTCCCATATATATATATATATATATATATATATATGTATGTATGTATGTATGTAAGTAAATATATATATTTACGTATACTTCTATCATGTATCCATAAAAATGCCTTTTAAAATTGTGATGTGGTGATGATAGCCTCAATTTAAAGAATGACAGCTTCTTAAATTGTTCCTGTTCATTAAAAACAGTGAATAAAAATTCAGTGAATAAGGCAGAGTAAGTGCACAACAAAAGCCTCATCTGGCTATGTCCCCAAAAGTTTGTTAATTGGAGACTTTAACTGAAGGTTTCATGTCTGTATCACTGAGTGCGGGGCAGGTGAGGTTGGTGGTATGTGACTTCCTCCAAGAGTTGCCCCACTTAACAAGGAAGGCTGGCTTCAGGCTGAGAACAGTAAAGTAGCTTTCAGCGGAAAGGCACACTGAGGTACTTTCAGAGTGCCTTGAAAGAGAAAATTGTTGTCAAGCACTGATTACACTGACATATTTCTGAAGTCTCCAAGGAGAAATTTGTTTCAGAAAGAGAATTGTAGTAATAAGATAGTTAGTAATTGGCTTAATGAATAAATCTTGGAAATTATGGGACAGCCTAGGATGTTTGCATTTTTTTCTGAACCAGTCTGAACTGTGGGAAGGTTTGGATGAGTTGACATAGGTCTGCCTGTTGAGGGTTCACATTTCACAATCTTTTCCCTTCCCTCAAGGGAAGTTAATGGGTCTGAACTTGTACAGCTTTGGCTAATTTGCAGCCCTGTAAAGATGTCTCAACATTTCTTACCTAGATCCTTCAGTCTTTTAAAAAAATGGATGCAGATACACATATTCAGAACACTATATATTTTAAAAATGTGTTGGGATAAATATGTACATATATATGTATGCATATATACACGTACAGAAACACTATGAAGAACCTTTATGTAGTCCCTGAAAAAGCACCATACTCTCCAAACAGAAACATGTATAGGGCCCTGTCACAATTTTCTTTGACTCTTTGACTCTTTTATTCAATACACATTCACTGGAATGCAGAAAATACTTGTTTTCAGCATTTGTATACCATCCCATATACCAGACAGATTGTGGAGTGAGATGTCTGTTAATTCAGCATTTGTCACATGGTGGAAAAGAATGCTGTTTCTGTTTTCCTCTTTCACTGTACCATCCATAAGCAAACTCTAGACAATTAGTACTTCCTCGAACCCATCATTATCATCATCACAACGGAGGCTGAATTGTGAGATGCCTTAGGACAAGATCCAGTGAACCGAACTCAGTGATAGCATAGCCGTGTCCATCCCAACCTTTGCTAGAAGTGAACCATCCTAAGCAGAACAGAACATAGTTGTACAATGGCCTTTCCTTGTTCTAAATTGTTTTCTCCATTGTTTTCTTCTTTAACCAGCTACTGATGCCAAAGAGCGACAGCATTGGGTCAGCAGGCTTCAGATCTGCACCCAACACCATACTGAAGCAATTGGAAAGGTACTGTTTGTATTACATACTGCAAATCAAGGAAGAGGAATGCATGGCCTGCCAGATGTTGTTGGGCTGCAGCTCCTATAAACCCTAACCAGTGGTCAGGAATTCTGGGACTTGCCCCCCAAAATATCAAGAGGGCACTAGGTTGGGGAAGGCAGATGTATGGGTTCAGCCTATGAATGGGTTTAGTTGCATATATGGAAGAGCAGCTGAAGTGCAACTTGTACTCACAACTTAGCCCTGACCCTTTGCTTATGGAGCTCAGTGATTAACAGTAGGGAGATCATTCTGCATATATGTCACATGTGTGTTGGTGAAAATGAAAGGGCTGCATGTTTGCACAGCTCCTCCACATGTAGGTGAACACCAGGCCAGTCAGGGATCTGTGTGCACACGTCAATTCATGTATTTGGTCTCTTCTCATAGAATGTGCACCTGGCAAATGCAAAGATAAAACTAGTCTGTGCACCGCTGTTACCTCTTCATGTATGCTATTAATACATGTGATTCAGTTGTCTGTGCTCCCTAGTGTAGTTTTTACTACAATATAAAAGATATAAACTTAGTAAAATAAATTCCAGTATCAAACACTTAACACTATTAACATAGCAAGAGCATAAGTAACCTACAGCACTATATGACCCCAGTAGTGTGAACAGGTGCAAGGGGTTTTCTGCAGAAACCCACTGCACCAGTGAAGACTGCATATGCTAGTGCTTTGTCACTGGCATAAGCAGAGGGGCAGTATAGAGTAGTCCAAAGACAATATGCACATGTCTCCAAAACTGAATTGCTTCGGCATGGCTAGTAGATCATATTTTGTAACTGCAAAAAGTGTCTCACTACAATCTGTTTCAGCTACTTGCAAAACAAGCATTAGTCTGCAAGGGAAATGCAATTTATAACCTGTCACTGAACCTTTGCAAAAATAATTGAATTGGATACTAAGGTTTAGTAGTATTTTTTAGGTTTGTGTTTTGGAAGTTTTCTTGGGTGTGCTCTCAACTCCCCTGGTATCAGTGGAGCTATTCTGGAGTCAGTTAAGTTTCACGGCAATAAAAGTAAACAAATTAATATTCACCCTTTTATACAGCGAGGGTGCAGGGGGCAACTTTAATGGATACTAGTCATGGGGTCTAGTCAAGGCCCAAGTAGTATATTTATATCTTCGCTGATCCTCATGTTTTTCTAAGTTCTTCACTGCATATTCTAATAGTGTAGCTATGGACATGTAGGTCAGAAGGGTAGGGACTTGAGAAATTGTTCTCACGTATTTCCTAATACATATGTTTCTTCACCAGAACAATCCTCCTCTGAAATCTCGCAGCTTCTCTCTTGCATCTCAAGGAAGTGGCTCTCCTGGTGTGCAGAGAAGACCCAGCCAAAATGCAGCATCTTTTTTTAATGTTGGCCATCACAGATTGCCAACTGGGAAGAGAATTCCCATTCTTCAGCCAGATCATTTAATTGATGTACGAGAGGTTGGTATAAATCAAATCTTTTATTGCTTTTGTTTAGAAATGAATAAGCCCTGTACCATCTGAAAATTAATACAATAACTAGTGTGGAGTTCCACACTTAAAGCCACTCATAGTTCAAGGACCAACACCTGCCCACTGTTTAGCAGTCACTGGTGGCTCCATGCATCTCTAATTAATCTACATGATATGGCTAAGAAAAACATCCTGCTCTATTCGCTACACAGAACAGAGTAACTTCCTGAGGCCTCAGGTATAGCAACATTCCTTCTTGTTTCCTTCTTCTATAGAGGGAAGGTTCTCAACCTCTTTGCATGCTGGGATTGCAGTTTGAAATATCTTAAAGTTTGCAATGAGTCTGAGTAATCTGTCATAATTTTGTGAGAAACTTCCACAGTTTACCTTTTCTTTATTCCCTTAATATAGGGGATTTTCCTATGAAGGGGGGAAAATTGTCTTGCTTCAGGAATAGGGCAAAATCCTTGTGCAATCAACCCTCAGATGACCTGAATCTTTTTTACATCTTGCAGTCTCAACTTACACTAGAGAGGTGTTGCTTTGCAGTATCCCTTGAGTGACTAGTTCAGTAAGTAGGGCAGCTTATGGAAGAGCATTTATAATGGTTACTTCAGTCTGTGTAGCATTTTTGCATGCAAGCTATTAAGACTATCATGAGAAAACAGATAGTCATTTTAGGGGAGAGTCATATACCTTCCACTTTTTTACATTAAAAAAGTGGTATGTACAGTAGTGCAATTTGGGTTTTCAATTTGGGTTTTCATTTTATCAGTTGGCAAACAATATGTAATGCTAGATGGAGTCACTGAAGCACTTGGTGTGAGCTTAGGTGGCCTCCGGGGGATGGTGGAGGACTGGAAGGCCTGGAGGAATGTTGTCTATGGGGTTGCGATGGGTCGGACACGACTTCGTGACTAACAACAACAACAAATGTAATGCTAAGACAGAGTACAAGCATAATGTTTCCCAATTTCTACTTGAGAGATAAGGAGTGCCCCCACACAGGTTGATGGAGACTTCCTTCTCGCTTCTCTGCTTTTCCTTGTGCTTACAGGCCTCATCTTCTTAAAGTATTCTTGCCCCACTTCCCAATATATGCATCCTATGGAAGAGTAACAGATTGATACTATGAACAAATTCAAGTTCCAAGCATTGGCTTAAAGCTGTTTCTAGCATCAACTTGATGCAATTGTAACCCACCCATGATTACTGCTGAAAGGGAATCAATGAGAGAAATAATGAAGGAGGGAAGGAAATAGCTTACAAACAAGAGGAAGATTCCAACCTTTCAAATGGCATTAAGAAAAAACATTTTGTTTGCACCAAATCTAAGACTCTAAACATCTTCTGACACCCAGGGATTTTCACTCTGCAATTCTGTAATTCAATGTTACAACTTCAATTTAAAAAGCTATCTGATCACATATGTAGCAGGTTACCAAATCAGTTTATAAAGCATTCTTTGCTTTGTATTATTTTTAATATATTTGACATATTTTACTATATTTTAATAGAATAATAAATGACATATTTTAAATATATTTGATATATTTTGCTCTGGAGGTAAGGAAACCTTTAAAAATCAGAACTGAGAACTCAAACTTGATGGACGTCTTCTGAAAGCAGTTGCTTCCATGATGCTTAGCTTTAAGTGGGAGAATGCTAAGGTCCAAGAAAGTCTAAATTAACTGATACTTGAGCTCCAGCAAAATTGCTTTAATCTAAAGAGGTTTTTATATTTTGCTTCCATTTGTTTAATACTTTTTAAAAGGTTTGTTTTAAGTATCTGTGTTTGTTTCTGTGATTGTTTAATTTACATTGGCCACATTAGACAGTTTTTGAAGTTGGAATAAATATTTAATTATTTTTGGGTTTCTTTTCTGAGTCTTGTCACTCACTGTTATGAGGTTTTCTTCCTAAATGTGGTGGCTTAAAAATAAACTCTGTAATCTAGTATATGTCACCAGATTACCTTGACAGCAAGATGAATTCCATAATGTGCTAAGTAATCCTGAAAGTATTGGATGTACTATATAAAAGAGGAAAAATATTACTTTTCTGAAGGGATGGTTTGACATCTTTCTGGAATTGCCATCCCACACTGAGCGATACTCAATTTAATATAGTCCTTCCTTGGAAAGGCTCACATGATCATTATCTTCTTGTTATGTTGTGGCATAGATTCCCTTGATTGGTGATTGCGAAGGAAAAGTTTGTTTTGAAATGATCCTGCGACTCCTGACCTGCTGGAGTCCCAGCAAGTTAAAACAAGCATTTAGGTTGTGGAAAGCAGAATGTTCCACTCAAATTATTTGAGTGATGCCATTATGTAATACATAATGCATTTTCATTAAACATTCTGTATCGTTGGGTGTTTGAGGAGTTCAGATTATCTCAGATTTGGGTAATCTACAAGGAGTCCACTTTCTGCAGGGTTACACTGACACTGAATTTGATGAGTTTTAGGCAACTGAGGATTCAACTGAAGTTCAACATGAACAAAAATCAGCCTTCTGTCTCTTGTTTGTTTGTAGAAGATGTCTCAAGCTGAGGGGCAGCAGAGAGATTTGGTAAGAAGCATAGAATGCCTTCCTGCCTCTGGTCAACTTTCTTCTTTAGACCAAGATCTGTTGATGCTCAAGGCAACCTCCATGGCAACAATGAATTGCTTAAATGACTGTTTCCACATTCTTCAGCTACAGCATGCATCACAACAGAAGGGATCCTTATCTACTGGTGAGTTAACTTTGTTCTGTCCTAATTTATAAAGGAATAAAATCAAAGCCATTATTTTATTTTTGTTGATGACTCTAAGGGCAGTATTCAACAGGGCTACTCTGCCTCCAAAAGGTCCATGGCACTTGCAGGACCCACTGCTTGCACAATGAGCCTTCGGTGCTTCTAAAAATATACTTTTATATTTCAGCACACAGGCATAATAAGGTAGTACTGTATGCCGGCATTAGCAGTCTCACCATAAAATGGTTTGTTTAGGGACATTTCTCTGTGTCTAAGATTTGTTTAAGACATTTCTCTGTGTTCTTATTCTTCCTAAATTCTTAGATTAAAATTGATTTGTTCTCATTTTGTAGTGGAAGTTTTCTCAGGTTGTACAATATTTAAAACTTACAGGAATCCTTTATTCCTAAGGATAGCTATTCACATGTGAAATTACTAACCATGTGACAACATTAAGAATGGATTAAAAAGACTGTACCGAGGTTGAATCAGAATTTTGAAATAGATTAAGGAATTGTAACCCATTAAAGACATTGATTACATATTAAAAACACTGTTTGTAGGCAGTATGTTTTGAATAACCATGATGTGTTATTCAGAACTGGATATTCCTGGAAAGCTGGTTCATCATCTAATAAGGAACTTTATATAAAACTGTTAGTTTTGGAACTGGTTTCCTCAAATGGAATTGGAGTAGCAAGCACAAATTAAACAAAGCAGCATATTTCACTAGGATTTGTGGCACTTCTTTTTCTGGTAGGCTTGCATGATGGGATTGGGAGTAAGATACGCTGGAAAACTGAAGAAAATTGCTTTGGCTCAACAGCATAATTAAGTTTGAACAATGTGTAAGAATTTTGATCAATTAGTCATTATCTGATTCTAGATTAGACTTTATATAGAGGGAGTCCCTCTGTGTATGTTTGAACTGCAGAGCTGAATGGTACCTTGTGGCAAGCAATATAAGATAGACCAAGCAATTCTGCTTTCAGAACTAGAATAACAAGGTGTTTCCTAAATCATGAGTTTATTATTATTGTTGCAGTTAAATTTATTGCTGTAACACTTAGTAGCTGAAGGTCGCTGGGAGGTTTACAACAACATATAAATGCAGTATAAAATGCATTTAAAATGTAACAATAAACATCATAAAAGTTACCATGCAGAATTGAAAAAAACCAAAATTTAAAAAAATTAAATAGCTACAGAAGTTCATAAAAACAAAATTATAAAATCAGTTTAAGCAAGTAACATAAGCTCCAATATAACAGTGAACTTACTAAATGCCATATAATATAGGAAGTTGGTACCAGGTGTGCCTCAGTGGTAAACATTCCATAAATGAAAAAGACCTTCTTGTAGATAACAACCATGCCTCCCTTGGGGGTGGCAAACTGAGGCAGGCTTCAGACCTTGACCACAGTGTCAGGTGAATTGTGGCTGGAGAGTCATCTGGTGTTGTGGTCCCAAGTGGTGGGCTTTATAGTTTAAAACCAGCACCTTGAATTGGACTTGGACACATATGAGCAATGTGTTATATGTTCAGTCTAAATGGTTCCTGTTATTAATCTGGCTGCTGCGTTTTACATGAGCTGCAGCTTCTAAAGGGCAGCTCCACATAGGAGAGCATTGCAGTAATCTAATTTAGAGATTATCAGAATATAGATTACTGAAACTAGGCTATTTCTGTTCAGGTACAGGTGTATCTGAAACTAGTAGAAGCCTCTTCATGTCATTGAAGCCACCCCTCAAATGAGGAAGATGGTTCAAGGAGCACTCCCCAAGCTATGGACCTGTGCCTTCAAGGGAAGTGCATCCCCATCTAGAACAGGTTGAATTTCCTCCATCTGGTCAGAAGAACGGCCTGCTAACCACATCTCAGCCCTGTCTGGACTGAGCTTCAGCTTGTTAGCTGTCATCCAGTCCATTGTTGTAACCAGCCACTGGGTTAGCAAATCCACAGCCTCACCTGCTGCAGATAGAAACAGAGCTGTGTGTTATCATCATACTGATAACATAGTCCAAAACTCCAGGTGATCCCATTAGGCAGTTTAATGTTGATGTTAAATAACATGGGACAAGACTGACTCATGGGGGACACCATATTGGGGAGTCCAGGGGACAGAGCAATATCCCTCAAACAGCACCCTCTGGAGTCAGGTGTCCAAGTTGGAGCAGAATTACTATAGAGCAGTGCTCCTTACTCCCAACTCAGCTAGAAGGATACTGTGGTCAATTGTACTGAAAGCTGCTGAGAGCTCCAGGAGTACCAATGAGCTCACACTCAGCCTGTCTCTCCCTGCATAGGTCATCATACAGAGTGACCAAAGCTGTTTCCATGCCAAAAATAGGTCTGAACCCTGAATGAAATGGATCCAGATAATCAGTCTCGTCCAAGGGTGCCTGGAGCTCATTGACTGGCACATGCTCAAGAACTTTGTCAAGGAAGGGGATGTTTACCACCAGCCTAGTGTAAATAAGGTCTTCTGGGTCCAGAGAAGGTTTCTTCCGGAGTGGCCTGTTTCAGTTGGCATGGGACCCCCCCCCCCAAGAAAAATGGATCACATCCATGGCCACCAATGAGCTACTGAAGGGTTCACCTGTGGATGCCATATAGCACCCTGGTTATGGCCTTGCTTGTGTTGAACTGTTGATCTGCATCTCACTGACCCAGTTTGCATGGCCCTGGCTGGGAAAATAAGCCATGGTAGCTCCCCCCACCCCCCTGTGCATGTGCTGGTCACATTGTGCCAGTTGCCTGCTGTTGGAATTAGTATAGTTACCTTCAGCAGTATGGCTTATCCCGTAAACCCAGCCAGAGTGGTAAGTCGCTGTGGCTAACAAGCCTCCTCAGAACTCTTTAACAGCTCATGCCGAGAAGCCACTCTAGCTCGCAACTGGTACACATGTCATAACATACTACACTTCTAAGCATAATTAAAATAATACCCCTGGTGCATGACCAGCATATGCAGGGTGGTTAAGAAGGCAGTCATGCAAACTGGGACACTGTGTGGGTGTTGCTTGAGACCAAGGTGCTGCTTTGCTTCCTTGGGTGTTAGATAGTGTGTGGGGAACTGTATTTTTCAAGACTTTCTATGACTGAATTATAAAGCAGACTTTTAAAGAATCTCCATCTACAACAGAATTTCATAGCTCAAGGCACTCACTCCTCATATATTCTGCTGCTTATTAAGGCTAGAGCATAAAACTTGGAATGACTCTTCTGTACTAGAATTGAAAGTTGAGAAGGATTGTCTTCTCCCATATGGTTCTGCCTGAGTGCTAAGATAGTCTTGGGGGGGGGGGGCGAGTTCTCTGTGTGCCCCTACCCTGAGTGGTACCATTTATGGCAACAAGGGGAAGAGCCTCCTTTTTAGGGACCCCTCCATCTGTGGAATACTCTTCCTATGGGAATCTGTCCAATGTCTTCTAGATGCAGAGGCCAGGTGGAAACCCACTCAGTAGGCATCCAGACTTTAATCTGCTGCTCTTATTATTAATTTTACTGTTGGGTCTTTAATATTTGTAATGCTGCAATATTTTGCATTTTGCATGTCTCTTTTCGTGGTTTTATTTTTTATGATTGTAAACTACCCAAAGGGCATTTGCCAGTGGGGTGCTTATATAGTTTTCTTAAATAAATGACATCCTTTTTTTGGTCATAACTACCACCCACCCCGAGGTGGTACACACAAGGCCTCCCAGGAAGATATGTTTGCTCTGCATCAGCCCAGGAAGATTCTCTTGCTATCTAAAGTCACTTATTTTCACACAAACTGCCTTTATAGATATGGTTTCACTTAATTTGCCTTTAGTGTGCACATTTGAATTTGTCTTTCTCTGTATACTAAGGGATTTTTAATATGCCTGGATTTTGTGAAGTAAAACAATTTAAAGCTGTATCTGTCTCTTACTGAAACAGAATGGCAATTTTTATGCAATAAAATAAAATCTTGGGGAAGCTATATACAGAATAGGGAAAACTGTTTAAATGTCTCCAGCAATTTGAATTTCTTATACTCCCACTTTCCCAAAATGCTGACCAACTGCAGCAATGACATCTGCTCAGTCAGTTTAGACAGGTGCTGGTACTTTCCCAAGGTTTTTGTGGGCCTAATAGGTAAGCTCAGAATTTAACACTGTAGGCAGAAGATGCCAAGTTTTCAGTAATGTTTATGTCTCAGCCTGATGGTTCCTTTATTCAAATTTATGTATGTGTTTCTTTTAATAGGGTTTTATTAGTCTACATACACTAGCCTTTGAGAACAGAATGGAACATTTTCATTATTGATGAGGAATTGTATCCATTCTGATAGACTAGCTTGGGGGGTAATTGGAGACACCAGAATCATTAAACAAATGGGTAACAGTTTTCCAAATGCTGCAGCTTTTATTTTCAAACTGCTGTTATTCAACAGAATGCACCACTTCTTAAGCTGTGCAGAAGTGAGGTTTTTCCTCCTAAAAATACACAAACCATTGGCAGAATGTATGATTTTAGTTTTAACCTTTCTTCATAGAAGTAAATTTAAGTTCATAATTGTTTTTCCTTAATGGTATTACTAGAATGTTGATGCAGCAACCTGTCCAAGGAGATTATGTAACAATCCAGTCTTATTGGGTTCTTTATCTGGTGTCTGATTACACTTTTCATAACACTATCTCCTTCTCCTCCAGAACAAGTTATGTGTGCCATCATTGCCCAATCACAGGCCTCATTCTAATGATTGGAGAAGGTGGTGTTCTTCTGCACCTACCTTGCTTTTCTTGTAGCTGAGCAAGTTTAGTTGCTTTTTAATTTGTTTTTGGGAGGGAGGGGGGAAAGGTTGTCTAAGCGCAATAAGCTTTTTTTGAAAAAAAAATCGAACTCTTAGAATATGAGCAGGTTTCAGCGTAAACTCTCTTTTGCTTCAGGAACAACTATCAGTTGGTTGGAGCCAAAAATCTCCCTGCCAAACCACTTCAAAAATGGAGCAGATCAGAATTTTTCAGCAGATCAGAACAAGCCATCATCTGTCAGAGAGGAGCAGTCTATTTCAGATTCCAGTCAGCTGACCAGGGTAAGGTAACATGAAAGCTTCAACATTGTGTTTTGGTTTGTTTTTTTCTTCTCCTTGTTCAATGAAGTTCTCAGCCTTATAATATACAACTATTTTTGGTTTATTAGCAAAATCATATGGTCTGTGTCTGCCTTGAGTACCTACACAGTAGATTTGTAGGTAGCTTTTTTTACCTTGTAAGAGATTTTCTATGATCTTTAACAAATAAGCATAGAAAATCAAGCATTCATACATAATTAAATTTGTCATAGTTAAATATGGTTACAAAGTAACATGCAGGTTAAATAATAAAAACCCCTTCCACTTATGAATCAAAAACTGTCAGGATACAATAAGGGGGGAAATTGGATGTTTTTAACAGGAATTTGTTTAACTTAAACTAGAAATAGAAATCATTCTTAAGATTTAGTAACATGTTAGGCTACCAAAGGGGTGCCATGGTGGGAAATATTATTGCATAGCCACGCTTTACGTATAAATATGCATTTGAAGGAAAGGCTATTCTTGAAAAGCACAACCTAGGACAATTATAAAGAGAGAAATTGGTGCTGTCGGGCTTTTTTATAGCTGTTCTTGACATAGTGATTTTCAGAAGCCTTTTCATAATTAAAAATTATAATGGGGAGCCTGTCATTTTTTCTTACTTGCTAAAAATAAGAATATAATAACTGCTTAATAGCTTGATTAAAACATGTTTGTGTGTTTTAATTTGGAAGTTAAAGCTGGAATTTTGAGGGAGTTTCTTTTTAAATTAGATTGTTCCAAATAAGAAACTGGGTCTATGTATGTGGTGATTACAGTGGTATAATGGGGATAAGGAGGGTTGATGAACTGGCTGAAAATTCAGCAGCTATAAGCACCCTGAACGGTCAATGCAACGGGAGGCTTTTCCAACTTGGACGATTGCTGTTTATCACTTTCCTTTCCTTCTTACTGGTTACTCCCTTGCTAAAAGCTAAGAAATGGTTGCTCCCCACTACACCCTGTTGCTTAAGCACTTGATATTTTATTGCTCCCTGGAAAAGTCACTGAAATGTACTTGCAATATCTGATGCCCAACCCCTCTTTTGGTAAGGCAGGGATCCTCCACACCCAAGCATTCCTGACTAATGAGCATCAGTAATAGGGAAGAATACAGCCTAGGACCACAGTACATATGGAATAGGAAGGGATAAATATACTGGGAAGTAAATCAATAGAAGAACTGTTCTAGCAAGATGAAACTAGGGAAGCAGTCCTATGCATGTTTAGACAGAAAAAAGTTCTGCACTTCTCAGCACTCCCCAGCCAGGATAGTCCTTGGCTTGGCTGCCCTTGCTCCTGACCACTCTATTCCATTCTTGTGCATGTGCCAGCTGCTCAAATAAGCCATACCTGTAGCAAAAAATGTGAGTGTCCCTGCAACTTCCTCTTTGCCTTCACCTCTTGACGCAGAGGAGGCTGTTCCAGGATGGTCAATGCACCATACTCCTGTGCCATAGAAGCCGAGCTAGCTGTGAAGGTTTAAGGCAAGAGCTAAGTAAAAGGGTTATGAGTGCAGAGCTGGGGTGGGTGGCAGCCCTGGCTTAAGTGGTATAATGACTTCTAGTTTAAGCAATCCAGTTATAAATACTAAATGCATTTATTTGTAAAAATAATTCTAGGCTGCCTTTCAGGACAGGAGCCCTACCAGATGGTTTGCAAGAATAAAATTCATATAGTGAATAATGAACCAGCAAAAATTCATGAGATCAACTAATACCAGCAAAAGTCAGCTTTAGAGGAGGGTAGTTTGCCACTCAGCTTTTTGGTCATGGGCATTTACTCTTTGACTACAGCTTTAGGAGACTTCGGATCGCTCAATTAAGACTACATTGTGAAATTGGAAGAGTTATTGAGCTGGTTCACACAACAGTCAATTGTGCCAACTATTCAGGTGAATGACATTCGCCCTGTCTTGGATGGGGTTGCACTCCCCCTAAGGGGCAGAGTGTGCAGTTTGGGAGTACTCCTTGACCCAGAGCTATCTGTGGAATCCCAGGTGGCACTGTAGCATTATCTGCATCCCCACCTGGACAGACAAGCCCTAGCAATAGTAACTCATGCTCTAATAACAACCTGTTTGGACCTTTGTAACATGCTTTACATAGGCTGCCCTTGAAGACAGTTCAAAATAGAACTGCCAGATTGCTGACTGGTAGATGAGAGCATATTATGCTAGTCCTATATCAACTACACTGGCTACCAGTTGAAGTCCAGGCCTGTTTTAAGGTGCTAATGATGACATATAAAGCCCTAAATGGTGTAGGGCCTGGTTATCTAAGGGAACATCTGCTAAACGAGCCTGCACAGACGTTACGATCATCTGCGGAGGTCCTCCTCCAAGAGTCCTCTTTGAAAGAGATGAGGGGAGTTGTTATGAGGAGGGGGTGCTTTTCTGTCATAGCACTCCGATTAGGGAAGGGGCATGAGCACAGAAGCTTGCCTTTCCTGCAAATGCCTGTTGCCCTTCTGAAGCCGAAGCAGTGCAGTAGGGTAACTATCACTGGCTTGCTCTTCTACCTCTTACTATGATATGGAGCCACAGCTTTTTCCCCCATTTTTATCTTTTCTTTTTTGAACGCTTTGCACAATCTTTTGTGATAGCCACTGACAGCCCATTCACAGACCACAAGCAACACATTAGAATGTCTGTCAGTGGTTTGCCACCCTTTTGACATGTAGGCAAATATTTCTTCTATTTAAAACATGTTTTGGCTGGAATGGCACAATTCCAGAAGAGCAGTTGTCCACATTTCCACAGGTGTGAAAATGGGAAGCCTTACCTGGGTGATGCAGCAGGTGCCATCCATGGACATTGATCCAGAAAGGGTACATAATGGGGGAGTGAGGAGGTACAATTTGCTTTACCCTGACAGCTCAGAAGTGAGTTGTCATTTTTTTTTATTTATTATTTTTATTAGAACAAAAGCATAAACACATATGCAAAAAAAGAAAAGAAGAAAAAGGGAAAAAAGTCACAAAGTAATGATCTGGGATACATTTAACTGATCTTAAGAGTGTTTGTTTGTTTAAAGCTTTTATATACTGCCCAATTGCAACAGTCTTGGGACAGTCTACAATAAAAACAGAATAAAATGAAGCACACTATCCAATCAGTCCAATAAACTAAAACCCACATTAAAACTTAATCAACCTTAAAATAATGGGCAAATAAAAGGGTTTTAGCCTGGCGGACCTCTCTGGGCAGCGCATTCCTTAGCTGGGGCACCACTGCCAAGAAGGCCCTTTTCCAGGAGTTGCCACCCTTCTAATCTCCTTCAAGGAGGGCCCCCAAAGAAGGACCTCCACACCAGATCTTAAGGGGCAGGAGGGCCCATAGAGAAGGTATTAGGTTTTGCTAATAAAATATATGTATACATATACACATCACTAATATAGGGTGAGGTAGGTTGACCGTATGTCAGAATGAGCATCAAAGCTGTCATCAATTGTATATTCTTTCACAGGATGCCAGTGTTGTGAGGTCTTCAGTCCATTGTGTGGTTGAGGGAGATGATTCGCCTTTCTAACATGCTGTATGAGTTGCGTAGCCACCATGAGGGCTTGAATAGTCCACTGGTGGTGTCCACAGGGCAGCCTCCAAGATGTAGGAATGTAATTCACCAATACATTGACAGCTTTAAACAAGAATGATACATTTAACACAAAGTTGATGTGTCTAAAAACTTCTGTCCAGCAGGAGGCCCTGTCAATTTAAAGCAAAATTATATTTGCCCACAAGGGATTTATCCCCCCCGACAAACACACAGTTGTGATTCTTGGGAGGGGGGTCCCTTGTAAGGTCCCAGTTCCTCCAACTGGTGGGAAAGTTACTTTAGCATTTCGGGCGGGGGGGAGGTCATCAGTGAATCTCAAAAAGATTGCAGTCTCTGGAGGGGAAGAAAAGTAAAGGTGGGGAAAACTATGCTGTACCAAAATGGCTCCCAATTGCGTCGAATGGCCAGCTGGTAGACAGAGCGGGGAGGATTAGCCACAGCATAGCTAGTTCTCTCTTGAATGCACTGTGGGGTTTTTTTGCAGCAACCAAGCCACTGTGCCATATAGCCAGGGTAGTTATTGTGTTAGGCAAACCCACCCATTGTAGCACAGATATTTTTGGTGTCCAAATAGGTCAGAATTGTGGGGGAAATGCTTCATAGCCTAATATGGTGAAACAGTAACATCTTAGCATGGAAATGCTATTTGGATACTGTTGAAGAAGCAGGTAATACAAAAGGAAAGTTCTTGCATGTTTCACAAGGCTAGCAGAGCAGGATGGCATACAGGTTTGAGAGGTACTTTTTATTTGTATGTTCTATTGAAGTTTTTACCACAGTTCTGGTCTTTATTTACACCTGATATAAAGTGTTATAGCAAATAGAGGGAAACTGATGTCATGTGTATTTTAATAAACTTCTTTTAAAGCTTTATTGCTTCTCTTATCAAAATAATGCCACACGAAATTTGTTTCTCTGAACTGGCAACTTACTCTTTAGAAGTCATAATTTCTAAGCATTTAGGCCTCTTCCCCATGAAATTCCTTGGCTTGCTGTCTTTGTAATCAGCCTGCCTCTTCCAAGTCCAGATTAAGGGGCCTGAGACATGATACTGAAGATACCATTCCCTGTGTACCATAGGAGCTAATAGACCTTTCAGTGTGCCAGGCCAGGTTGCCTTACGAAATTCTACTGCTATGAGTTGGTCTATACTGGTTTTCTAGTTAATTGGCGCACTTAGGACAAGTAGCTGTTCCTTCTGCAAGTAGGAAGCCAGCCCAGCTGCTCATGTACTGTATGACAGACAGCTTCATACAGACAGTGATGATTTTTTGGGTTGATAGCTCTTGTGAACAGGCCTGTTGATGAACTGTCCCTCAACAGAGAACACTTCTTGTGGTGCTTTAATTTAGGCCAAATAAAAGACACTAGTCAATACCAGAGATGTACTCAATTCCTCCTCTGGTGCAGAAGCTAGGAGCAGTCCACAGAGCCATTTGTTGGTCTGTACATTCCTGAAGATAAGCAAAAGCACAAGAGGGGCAAATAAAATGTTGAGTGTTGTTCCTGTTCTTTTTTTTTCCCTTGTAAGCCTGTATCAGGCCAAGGAACTGTCTTGTTCCCCAGTTTTTCCAACCTGTAACATTTGAAACTGTCATTCTGCAAAGCAGAAATCAAGCAATTTAATATTCAAGGTAACCTATAATGATGATTTTGTAGTTTATGTTTCACTTTAGCAAAAAAGCAAAGTGAGTCTTTTGATTCCCTCCCCTATCCCAAACTTATCTTGCACATCATGAGATGACAAGACTCACTAGAGAAGCAAGCAGCAAGTATTGTAAAGATGCAATTCCTAGGATTGTCTATTATTGTATTTGTATCTGTATTAAGCAGAAAAGTCCACTATTTTTGAAAATGATCATTTTTTAAAGTAAGAGATCAAATTAAATGTATATATTACCAAAACCAAATATATAGGCATCTGTCTGAGGCTATTGAAGAAACGTCATAGATTCTGACTAGGTTTGAATGAAGTGGCAACTCATCGTAGATGACTTGCCGCAGTGGATTATTCTTTCGTGGGAACCCAGACTGCTTTTCACAAGGTGGCTTGTTTTTTCCCAGCATGTCACCCTGAGAGCACTTGGCTAGTTTTAGGGTTTCTTGAACCTACAATAGGTTGTCATGGTATCTGAGCCCAGGTGACAGACCCCATTGTGGGTTGCAGGAAGTAATGAGAAAATTGCTGGGCAAGAACAGCAAAAACCCATTGCCACTGTTGCCAAGCTTGTCCAGGCCACACCCAGGAAAAACTGACTGTCACTAGCTCACCCACCATTCCTTTTTATGTCCACAGTGACTTTTTCTTGTTTTCATTTGGGAGATCATTTTTCACAAACTTTAGTGTGACAATCCCTCCAAGGGGCCCAAATGATGCATTGAAGTAGCCTTCAATTGTGTGGCATTTTTTTTTCCTTTCTGCATGATAAAGGATCTTTTTTTTTCAATTTGTTAGTAGACTGGAGTTGCACAAGTACACAACTCCAGCTACCTGAAATAAGAAACCACACCGGCTTTATGCCCTGGTAAGTGCCTGCTGTCAAAGCAGGCGTCATTCATTAACAGTGCCAAAAACCTGCTTCAAATGCTTACTTAGCTTTCACTTGACAGCTATTGAACAGCAAACTGTCCAGCATAAAGCAAAGCTGTGAGAACATCTTTGCCTGTGAAACAGAGTGGCAACAACATCCTCTCCTTTGCCGGTTTTACATTTGGACACGACAGTGCTCCATTTCCTCCCCCTTTTGCACCTTTTGTCCAGAGGCTCAAGAAAGTGGAAAAGTGCAGTCCATCCATTTATGGAAACAGTTACCTTTTACAGCCATCAAAACTCAGGCTTCCTTTTAAAACTAGGGTTTTGATAGAGCTAAACAGTATTTTCCTCTGTACCGTTTCTAGCTTTCTTTTTTTTAAACTTAAGTACCCACACTGGACACAGTACTCTAGGTGAGATTTGACTAGTGCTGAGTACAGGGGAACTAGAACTTCATGTGATTTGGAAGTGATACTTCTGTTAATGCATCCCAAAATACTGTCTGCCCTTTTTGCAGCAGCATCACATCACTGGCTCATGATTAGCTTGTGATCTACAACAACCCCAAGATCCTTCTCTTTTGCAGCATTGTGTTCCTCATTTTGTTGTAATGCATTTGATTCCTCATTTTGGTTCCTCAAAGTGTTCCTCATTTTGTTGTAATGCATTTGGTTTCCTGTTCCTACGTGGAGGACTTGGCATTTGTACCTGTTGACATTGATTTAAATTGAACACTGCCATCTTTCATTGACAGTTTGCTTGAAGCAAAAATGCTAAATATCTGCTAGATTTATCTGAGATCTAGAAATAAGATGTTTGTTTTAGAGTACATTTTTCATTGCAGCCTCTGAGTAGTTGCAATAGCCTCAATCCTAAAAATTAGAATGATCTTTTATTAAAATTAAAACTTTAGCTGATTAAGGCTGCAGACCTGTACATACTTACATGGACATAAGTCTCACTGAATTAATTGGGACCTATGTATTTGATTATACTTGTATAAGGCTGTAAATCAAAGTTTGCAACTTGGTCTCATTCCAACACATGATTTACCTTGAGAAATGATTGATCATCTGTGGGATTGGGGAGGATGATCAAACTGTCATGGTTGGGAGAAAGGGGGATTAGAATTATAAAGCCAAGATGCTTTTGAATGATATATTATTTGAAGAGTCATTTGTGTTTGGAATTTTCACTAGGAGCCAGAGGAAATAAAACCAGATGAGGAACTAGAGGATACGTGTGATAATAAAGAGGATGACCTTGGCGCTGTGGAAGAACAGCGTAGTGTTATCTTGCATCTCCTGTCTCAACTCAAACTTGGCATGGACTTAACAAGAGTAAGTGATTAAAATGTTAATCATTCTGAAATCAAGAGAAATGTACTTCTGTAAACTGGAGAATGACCTAGCCACATCTGGATTTGTCCAGAGGACTTAATTAACTTGGATTCTACCAATCACACCAGTAGAGGAGCAACCCCTACCCCAAAACCTCACACTTCCAGCCTGATATTAAAGACATGTCTGTTAACTGAGTTGAAATGGCCTTCTTGGTTTGTGTCCTAAATCTGCATATTTTAAGTGTGTGCATGGAAATATACATACAGTATTTTCATGGTATGTTTGCTTCTATAGGTTAAATAATTGGATTTTCAAAATATGAAATACATCTCTCTTGTATTGAATAATACCTCTTCTTTTATACTTGCCTTTATTTCTTATTCAAATTGTTCACGTTAGGCCAATTTCAGACTACTTTGGTGGTGTCAGTGGAAGCTGCCAATAATAATGTATACTGAATAATTGGAAAAGTGGAAGAAGATGTACATGCTTTCCACTAATGAAATTAGAGACAGTGCATTTGACACTAGCCTTGGGTAACTATCTTTTTAAGTGGAAGCTAATCTAGCTTCTATTCTTGGCAGGTGAGCTCATGCCACTCCGATAGCCACTTTGCTCTTGCCCAAGTGACACTTTGGAATGACCAGCACTGGGTCCATACCTTTTTTCAGCCTCTTTTTTGGACAACACAGACATGTGCAATTTTGTTCATGGTTCTTTTTAAAGGTAGCTGTATACCTACGAAGGTCTGAAATGTGGAGTCTTGCCTGGCCAATGTACAGGTCGGTTTCTGCTGCCAAAGTATAGTACGCCACATCCATGGACATTGACCAAGCAAGGCTGCATAGAGGTTGCTTTGAGCACACGCCTAACAGCTGTAAATTGAATACCAAAGGGTTTCCTCCAAACGGGAGTGGCAACTGGATCTCCTCCTTTATGAGGGAGTATCCTCTAGTTCTTAGCATTGTCTTCCCTGTTCTTATTCCCCTTCAGATATCTCCTAGCCCCGAGATAAACATTCCACTCCCTTTTATGAGCAATTCCTTTTGATATCTGTCAAAAGAAAAGGTTCTTTTCTTTTAACCTAGTTAGAAAATTTGAAGAATATTTTGGATATGAAAATATATATCCAGGAAATCTGCATATATTCCTCATTCAAAAGCAAATACCAATGCAAACAACAATCATGGCATAGCTTATTTGCATGGTAGGTTGCCACATTGTGAGAACTTGCCAAATACGTGCATGACACATGTGTCTAGATAATATGTGAAGTTCAGTGGTACCTCAGCTCACGAATGCCTTGGTTCACGACCAAATCAGGTCGTGAACAAAAATTTCATGAAAATTTTGACTTGGGTCGTGAACTCCTCATTTGGTGACGACCAAGATCGTAGCCATCAACCCCCCCCCCCCCCCAGTGGGGAGATGGCCATGATCGCAGTTGCGTTCATGCAGGGAAGACGTGCGTGATCATGGTCGCCCTCCTGCAGGAAAGACGGGCACAATCTCAGCCATCTCCCCCCACCCCCCGCAATGGTGAACAGAACTACAGTAATCACAAACTGCTGTAGTAACTTGAGAACTTGCTTTGTCACCATCCTAGAAAATTTTCTGCAGTACCTTCTTGTTTAGTTCCTTTATTCCATGGGCTGAACATGAACATTCAAGCATGTATTTGTGTTTTTGTGTCTTTCTCTTCTAATTGCTTATAACATTGTCAGATTTTCACATTTCCCCTCCTCATGTAGCATATTCCTTTCAAGGATTCTCTGCTTTTGACCATAAATACTTTTTACTTCTAGTGCTTGTCATTGCCATGGAGTGCAAAAGTATGTTGTCTGTGAGGCAAAAGCATTAAAGTTGAGCACTTTGCTACTCTTCATTAACCAATTAATTGTCAAGTTAAATCACCCCAGGGCACTTAGCAGGACACACCCAAGCATCCCACTTTCTTCATTCGTGCTCTAGTTGGGGGCCTTTACAGGTAGTTCCTGCCATTGCAGTTACTGAGGCTTTATGTAGCCATTAAGCTTCTGACACCTTCTCTTGCTGATGGCTTCGCTACAACAGCCTTCCCAACATTGTTCCAGATATTTTGGTCTGTACCTCCTGGCATTCCTGGCCATTGGTTATGCTGACTAGAACTAATGGGAGTTGAAGTCAAAAACATCTGGGGAACACCAGGTTGGGGAAAGCTGTTCTACAAGACTTTCTATTTTAAGTGAAGCAATCTAATATGGGAACAGAAGCACTGAAGTCTCACTACTTCATTTTAGGAGAGTAAAACTGTAGCTCCATTTCTATCTTCTACATCTAGGTGAGTACAAGCATTATGAAAGAGATAATATAAAAAGTTAAAAGCAGTAAATCTGCTACTGTCATCTAGATCGCACCCTATAAAAAGTCTTTCTTTTGTTGGTTCTAATGCTCTGCATTTTGGTTACAAAAAATGTTATGTGCTTCCCCCCATCCTTTGCTTACTTTTTATAGTTGGAATTTTTATGCACATCCAGTTTTGAATTAATATATCTTCCTGTCTATTTCAGGTGGTTCTTCCCACTTTTATTTTAGAGAAACGCTCTTTGCTAGAAATGTATGCCGACTTCATGTCCCATCCAGATCTCTTCATTGCAATTTCAAATGGCACGAGCCCTGAAGAGAGGATGATCCGCTTTGTTGAGTATTACCTCACTTCCTTTCATGAAGGTCGCAAAGGGGCAATTGCGAAAAAACCCTATAATCCCATCATCGGGGAAACATTTCATTGCTCATGGAAGACACTGAAGAGCAACGTGCCATCTGACACAAACAGTAACTCTTCCTCCCATTCCCTCTCTGAGCAAGTGACTGTCTCAGAAGAGACACGGGACCAAGCAGAGTCGGACAGTTACACAGTCAGATTTGTAGCTGAGCAGGTGTCTCATCATCCTCCAGTCTCAGGGTTTTATGCTGAATGTGTAGAGAGGAAGATGTGTGTTAATGCTCATGTCTGGACAAAAAGTAAATTCCTAGGAATGTCAATAGGAGTGACGATGGTTGGAGAAGGTGAGTGAAAATGTTGCCATTCACTATCTCCTATTTCTGCAATGAATTCATTGACAACACAAGGCTGAACATTATGCAAGATGCTTCATAAAACTAAACTAAACACTAAACGCTAAAACAACTTCAGTGGTTTAGGGGTTGTCTACACCACTTGTCTTAATCCTGTCAGCAAGCCTGTCAGATACTTGGGTCTTCCTTGGAGATCATGACTTGGAGATGCTAAGTCAAGATTGTTCAACATATGACCCTTCCATTAGCTACTTAGTGAGTATTGCCAGTAGGGAAGGGCATAAAAGTTGTGGCCCTCCAGATGCTGTATCTTCCAGCTTCCCCACCCATACTTCAGGTAAAGCTATTTCCAATTGGGAATTAGAAGATAGTAATATCTCTAGAAACAGTTACTGCCTTTTTTTGAATACTATTTGAATGTTAGAAGTAGAGATTCTGGGGAACAGAAGAGCCATGCTGATTCCTGTATACTGTTCCTATAGCAGACAACTCGCTGCCCACAGAAAGCTCCCAGGCAAGACACTAGTGCATCAGCCTCCTCCTGCCCATGTTCCCCAGCAACTGATGTGCACAGGCATACTGCCTCTGATGTTGGGGGCAGCATAGAGCTATCAGGACGAGTAGCCATTGATAGTCTTTCCACTTATTTGTCCCGGCTCCTTTTAAAGCCGTCCAAATTGATAGCCATCACTACATCTTGTGGAAGGGAATTCCACTAACTGTGTCCTCCATTCTCTGTCCTGAATCTCCCACCAGTTGGCTTCATGGGATGACCTCAGGTTCTAGTTTTATGGGAGAGGGAAAGTGTCTCCTTATCCACTTTCTTCATACCATACATCATTTTGTTTACTTGTATCATGTCTCTCCTTACTCAGCTTAGTGTTGTCTACCCCTGAGCCAATCCAGATTTATTTTTTGTAAAATCTTGTGTAATCGTGAAGGGGGAGGTTTATAATATAATGAACTTAGCTGAATAGGAATTTTTAGCTGGCTTGAGGTTAAGATAACGAGTCCTTTTTTCTTCCTGGGCACTGAACTTTGGAACTACTGTAGAGAAGCCTTCACCAGCATAGTGCCTGCCAGATCTATTGGACTACAGCTCCTGTCATCATCACCATGATCATCACTATCACCAAATTTTATACTGCCCGTAGCCAAAGCTCTCTGGGCAGTTTACCACAATAATCATAGAATTATATACTGAACTCACCCATCCCAATTTTGACGAAGCCTGACCCTGCTTAGCTTCCAAGATTAGGCAGGATCAGGCAGTTCAGCCTACATTGAACCTTATCCCTATTATCCCATTCTTCTCATTTATCTTTGAACACTGGGAGTTTTAGTTCAATGCATCTGGAAAGCACCTGGTTGATGAAGGATTGACTTAGAGCACAGTTTCCTAGCCCATGCTTTTGAGCAGAGAAAGTGAATACCTTTCCTCTCATTTATTTTTCAACTTGTACTTCAGCAGCACAGTAGAGAACTATTGCTAGAATTTTGGAAATATGTTTTCCCTTCAGCATCATTTTAAGTGTGTGTGTGTGCGGGGGGGATGCAATGTTGTTGGAGCCGCACAGAAGCAAATGAGCATACTAGCTTCTACTGACTTCCTGTTGCTGCTGCTTCCACTTGGTTTCCAGATTCCAAAACAACTCAGGAGTATTCCATTCCTGGGTCATGTCTTGTCTTGTGAGAATCTGATACTCAGTGTTATTGCAACAACAAATCATGGGTTAAGGCTCTGAGTGTTTCTCCTTCAACAACAGAATGGTGAGTTCTCATGTCATGGAGTGCAACCCAAGAACAGGAAGTTCCTCAGTTGTTTTGGAGTCTAGAAACAAAGTGGCCAGTGGGAGGAAGGCAGCATGCTTACTCACTCTTGCATGACCCTAACTGGCCATGGGTTATTTAATCCATGCTTTGGCCTGATTTGCAAAGGACTCTTTTTCTATTTTCGTCATCTAAAACAAATTTATTTTGCTACTGCCATCTAGCTTATGATACAGTGGAGATCCTTTAAGAGATGTAACGTCTGTTGAGCCTAAGTTGCATTTTGAATTCACTAAAATAAAAGTGAATTGTTTCCAGTTTGTAGATTTAACACTTATCTCTGTCTCGCAGGTATTTTAAGTCTTCTGGAACATGGAGAGGAATACACATTTTCCCTGCCTTGTGCATATGCTCGGTCAATTTTGACTGTCCCTTGGGTGGAACTGGGAGGAAAAGTCAGCGTTAATTGTGCAAAAACAGGATATTCTGCTAGTATCACTTTTCATACAAAGCCATTTTATGGTGGCAAGCTGCACCGGTAAATACCTCTTTTTGCAAGATTTCTAATGTAGTATAGTGCAAAATCTATTGTACAGAACTTTTTAATGGGAATTAAGCATTTTTCTTCACCCCTATTAAGTTGGATACTAGGAATAGAAGTGCAGGTCCCTTGACCTCTTTATTGAAAACTTGGGAATTATATGCAAAAGGAAGCTAAACACTTCATAAAATGCTTTTGAGTCTGGTTGGAAAGTGCATCCAAGTAAAACATGCTGTAAACAAAAACATCTCCAAATTCTAGTTACAGCGAAGGAAAACGCAAATAACATTGTCTAATTTCCCTCTCAGAATTGTACTCTACAGAATGTATTATTTACGTTTTTATTCCATCCTTTCTCTAAGTTACTCAGGGAGACATAAAGGCCTACTTGACTCCATTTCATCCTAGCAAAGTACTTTCTGAGGTGCCATGCAAACTTTAAGTGGAGATTTGGACCTGGGACTCTCCAGTCCTAGTCTGGCACTTCTGCAGCTAGTCAGAGCTGTGCTTTGCAGTTTTTCAGAGTCTTAAGCCATATTCAGCAAATGTTCATTGAACTCTTACTATTGACAAGAGGAGCCATGAAAGTAGTATCCAAATTCTCCTGTTGTTGCAGGCTTGCACAGCTTCTCATGGGCATAGTTGCAGTTAAATTTTCCAGTGGGGTTTTGGGTTAGTACTTGTCAAAGATTTTGTGTGGTATTAAGTACAAGAGGGGGAAGAAATGTAATGATTCTGCCACTAGTTGGTATTTCAACAAGTAGTAGTATTATGGATTTTGGAGAGATATTAACTGTTAAATGCATACCCTATTTGGAACATAATTTCATTGTGTTGGCCATAGCTGAAAGGCTGAGGCAGAAGCCCTTTGACTTAAACAGTATAATTCTCATTTGCTTAGGTTTACATTTTCTCAGAAGATAGTGGGATTTCAGGGTGTTTTCCCCAATGTATAATGTGGACCCCATCCATTTATTTGTATAATGTAGACCCCATGCATTTAATGATTGATTGATAGCATGTGCATTTTTAACCAGAAGACTTTGCAAGAGTACTATTAACATTTTCATCATGTAGAAGAATGTTTATGCAGTCTAATGTATTCCTTTCTTGGAAAGAGTAAATAAGGAAACTGAATTTTACAGGCACTGAAAGGTAACCAAAAATACCATTTTATTGGCATGTTAAACTTGACAGACAAGCACTGCCAGCTAAGTGTCCTTGTCATTCATATTGTTAACAGCAATTGGTAAGCCCAGTACTTAAATGGAGAAAATCTTTTTCTATCACCCTGCATTGGACTGAGCAATGATGATGTTTTAAATGTGAACGGGCTACAGCACATAAAAACCGCAAGAGATAAGAGTGCAAAATAATCCATGAGTGCCTAGGGCAGTGATGGCAACCCTTTTAGAGACTGAGTGCCCAATCTGCAACCCAAAACACACTTATTTATTGCAAAGTGCCAACACTGCAATAAAACCTGAAAACTGAGATTTTAGTTTAGAAAAAACAACTCAGTCCAAGCAAATATATATATATATACAGTGGTACCTCAGCTCACGAACGCCTTGGTTCACGAACAAAAATTTCTGAAAAATTTTGACTTGGGTCACGAACACTGCTTTGGGTGGGGAGATGGCCACGATCCCAGTTGCTTTCGTGCAGGGAAGGCATGCCTGATCAGAGGTGCGCTGCTGCAGGAAAGACAGGAGCAGCAAAGCAGAGCCATGGGGGAGATGGCCGAGATTCCGCCTGTCTTTCCTGCAGGAGCGTGCCTCTGATCAGGCACGCCTTCCCTGCACAAACAGAACTGCAATTGCGGCCATCTCCCCACCCCCAGCACACCGTTTACGCCCATCTCTCCCTCCCCCAGTGCGCCCATAATCATGCCTGTCTCTCCCCCCCCCCCACTCCCCAGCATGCTGGGATGACAGGTGCAATCTCGGTCGTGCTGGGGGGCGGGGGGGGGGGATATGGCCACGATCTTTGTTGTTGTCATTTTGCTTCACATTTTTCTGATTTAAAAAATGGTTACAGAACGGATGAACCTTACTTACATTTAAGCTTATGGGGAAATTTAACTTGGCTCATGACCAATTTCGGTCACGACCAGAGTCCTGGAATGGATTAAGTTCGTGAGCCAAGGTACCACTGTATATCCTTGGCAGTGCACTGCCCTGCCATGCAAAAGCTCAGATGAGTCGCGGCTAATGAGTCACGACTTGTGACATCATCTCCTGGCGCCTCTACTTCTTTCCGAGCATGCGCATGGCCCCTATGTGCACTGTTATCTGATGCTGGGCTGCTGGGTCGATGCCGGGACGACTTGGCTTGCGTGCCGACAGAGAGGGCTTTGCATGCCTGCTGCAGCACACGTGCCATAGGTTCACCACCACTGGCCTGGGTTATTATTTTCATTGCTTTGGAAAGCCTTTTAAGGCAAACTGCCATAGTAAAACGTTAGTCATTTTTTAAAACAAAATAACTTTGCAGATAAAATCACATAATAGTCCCCCAAATCCTGCTGTACCAGGTCTTCCCATGTATTCCTTTTTAAATATGGATGACATAGTACGAAAAGTACACTAATCTACCAGTTCTCATACCTTTCTTTTACTTGCTGTTTCTTTAGTGTTACTGGTGAGGTAAAGCAGAATGCTACCAATACTGTGGTTTGTCGAGTGCAAGGTGAATGGAACAGTATCCTTGAATTTACTTATAACAATGGAGAGACAAAATGCATGGACTTGTCAAAACTGACTGTGACAAGGAAACGAGTACGACCAATTGAGAAACAGGGGCCATTTGAGTCCAGGTAAGAGAAGCTGTGTTACATGTTCATAATTACCTCTTACTGGGTGTCTGCAGACAGAGAATGTGTTTCAGTACTGAAGTAAAATATCATTTTATTTTCAATAAATCCCAATATGTTTCAGTCCTGAAATCTTCAGGGGCTTCCTTTCAGGGATACAAATGTAGTTATATTTTTCTAGCATCTTGAGAGAATATGAAGTTAAACTTTTCCAGCATTCTCTCTCTGTTAATCTGTGGTGGATGCTTTCCAGTTCATCTACACTCATTTTTTCTTATTGGATGCACTTTCAAATGGCTTTTTTTTTTCATTGTGGGTGCCAACATACTATTTGGTACTCAGATACCTTTGAGCAAGAAGACCCCGTGGGCAGGAAGCAATCATTTTAAGTAAATATATTAATGAACATATTTGGAAATCACAAAATGTCTTAACTGTAACAGAAGTGAAATAGTTCTGACACAGACTGTCAACACGAGGTTAAACTATGTGTAAAAAATCCATTTTGTGTGAAAAATCTGTTGGATTCTCTGATTCTGACTTCCCAGACTCCAGCCTGTTTTACAATTTCTTACACTAGGATTACACTAGAATTGAGGCCCACTTGCTGCGCAAACAGTACGATTCCTCCATGTCCGCTGCTGCCTATGCCACCAGCAGCAGCGACTGGGGAAGAGGTTGGTTGGTGGGATTGGCGGCTGGCGCACCCACTTGGAGATCTTCTCTTTCACATCTTGCAGCCACTCCTGATGGGGAAGGTTGCGAGTTCTGCAACTGGGGGTCTGTGAGCCTTTGCAGACTTCATCCTGGCTTGGCTTACTTTGCAGGACCAGGCTGAACATGAGAGGAAGTCCGCAGATTCTGGAGGGATGGATTTCAAAGAGTTTGTCCCAGTCCTATTTGACACTGAAGGACACTGGTAGGGAATTGAAAAAATGTATGAAGGATAGTACTATCCATGGCTACTAGTCCTGATAGCCGTATGCTGTCCGCAACATTAGAAGCAGTACACCCTTGTACACCAGTTGCTGGGGGAAACGGGCAGCAGGATGCTGTTGTGTGTCCTGCTTGTGGGTTCCAGTGCTGATGAGAGATTATCCACTCTTTGTTTTTTTTTTAATACTGGGGCATTTTTGCATAGGAAATGTTGCAATTTAAGAATCACATTGAGGTTGCCTGTGTCTTACTCTTCAGCTGAGTGACAGATGCATTCTGAACTGCACTGAAAATGCTTCAGCTTTTAGCTGCCCTGGGAAAGCCCTTCTGGGATGCAGCACTTCCTTGTGCCTTTCAGTCCCCTTGGTGTTTCTGTGAGAGGAGAGAAGGTTCTGATTATTTTCACTTGTGAGGTAGCTCCACATGCAGGCATCTCACTGATCTGCTGAAAGACCTTGAAATGGGTTGCACCTTTTTGATTCAGGAAACTCTGGCAGCATGTGACAGAGTCCCTGAGGGAAGGGGACATTGATAAGGCAACAGAGCATAAGAAAGCACTTGAGGAACGGCAGAGGAATGAGGAGCGCCTCCGGGCTGAGACAGGCACACCATGGCATACGAAGTACTTCATTAAAGATGTAAGTAACTCAGCGCAAAATAAACACTTGACACACTAGCTTGCTAACTGGGAACAGAATTGCTTTCTGTGTCTTCTGTAGAGGATTCTTAAAAAGCACCACTTTGTTATCCAACAAATGTCTTGAGGACTGCAGTAAGGTATCTGGGGGTGGCAGGGCAGGGACACTGTACATCCTTTTACTGCTTTGAATTGTTTTGTACAGTCTGTTTGTAGACCAAAGGTGGCGTGGAAACAGTTGTCTCTGATTTTATTCTACCAATTTGAGGTGGAGAACTTTGAGCATAATTTCATGCCACCCTCAGAGTCATCCTGGTGTCTCGATGTTGCAGGTTCACTCTTGTTCTTTGAAATGAAAATTGCTTCCTCTTCCTTACTTCCCTCTTCTGCTTCTCCTCTTCTGTATGTGTGTGCTCCTTATGCCACTTTCATGAGTCAAACTTTCCTTCATGGTGGGCAGGAAGCTTTTTCACCCATTCTGTAAATTTACTGAGAGTCTCATTGGCCTGGCTTGCATGATTGGAGTATGGTTAAAGCCATGAAGGCTTGTCAAACTTGCTGCCTAAAGCCCTTACCGAGCTTGTAGCTCAAATTCCATCTCAGGGTTTGAACTGAGGACTACTGTCTCGACCCTCAGCCACTATGTGAAACAAGTTCTAATGCCACAGAAGTCAGTCCAAAATAGGTACAGAAATTAGCCTTTCTTGCTATTAATTATGAGTAAAATAATTGGCCTGTTTTCCACAATACAACCAAGCAAGAGTAGCAGTGTATGGTTAGTTGTCATGTCATCCAAACCCAGAGCAGGTTACCCATAGCTGCTTGTTCTTCTTTTCTGTTCAAACCACCCTAAAGGTCCAATGTGAGTCATTGTGTCATCCTCTTGTGGGTAACGTCCAGCAGCTGGTGAGATGCTCAACAAGAGCAGCAAGAACATCTTGCTGCTCTTTCTGAGCTCACCCTGGCCACCATTGGCTCCAGCCACCCTACAAGTGTCCAGGCAGCTGGCTTTTTGTCCCCGCTCCCATGATCAAGAGCCCTGTGACTTTGTGCACTTATCAAAAGGTAGCTTGACAACCACCTTTTCCTGTTCAGAGTTTGACAGCTATTGATAGTCACTTCAAAATTCTAGAGGGACTGTCCATGGCTAGAAAGCCTTTTTAAAACCCTGATTTTTGCATTTATGAGTTTTAAAAAGACAAAAATAGCCACAGTTGTGTGAATGGAGAAATCGGAAGCCTTGACTGGGGAGGAAGGGAGCTGATGCCAGAGTACAGCAGGTACTGGTCAGTTACCTAAAGAGGCTCCAAGGAGACTCCACCCCTCCCCCACTGCCTTTGGTGTGGCTGCTGTCAAAAGGTGAGCTGTCAAGCCAAACAAAGATACAAGTGAACTTTGCTTGGGGAAAGTGTCTGTAGAATTTATGTTCCCTCTGTGGTAGATGTTCCTCTTTTCCCTGATAGCCCTCAAGGAGGTGCACATACAGCTGTATATGATCCAGTCCAACAACCCTCTTTGCTTGTCAAAACTCCCTTTCCTCTGAAAAGTGGATTGGAGGTACTTTTGCACTTTCCAAAGCACCTAGAGTTGGGAATCTGTCTCTGATTCTCTCTCTCTCTGAGGTAAACTCTCACAAGCACCTTCCCTTCTCTTTTGCATGCACAAGAAGGAGGTTTGCTTTTGCCCTAACCACAGTTCCTCTTGACGTCCAAACTTTGAATGCTGTGGTTTTCTGAGGCTTCAAATTACAGTTTTGGATCCTCAGTCTCTGACCAGTGCCTTAACACCAGTGAACAGAGCTATATATGACTTGCTGCTTACAACTAGCATTTGTCAGTGCATTTGCATGGAAAAATCATTCTTCAGCTATATAAATTTGTTCTTTATTTGAATTTCAGGGAGATGGCTGGGTTTATTATAATCCCCTTTGGAAAAGAATGCCTGCTGTACAAAATCAAGAACTGGACACAAACTAGATGACATTTCTTCAAAATTATTTGTGTCTTTTGTCTAATCCATACAACTTCCAAAATGCTGTATCTCACTAAGAGTCCTTTGGAATTTTTTATATAATTGCACAAAATTAAATAAGCATAAAGGAATAAAACTATTAGGGCACTTTAAAGTTGCAGAAAATCTAAAGGTAGAGAGAGAACCATCATTCCCACCCACCAAAAAAAACAAACAAAACATTTTATATGGCACTCAAGATTTTATCTGAACTATAAATTGTGTTCTTTCTAAGCACACTACCGCAAAAGCTGCCTAGGATGTTTTTTAAAGCAAAAACTCTACCTGGAAGCAGTGGCATCCAGAGCTGCTGTGCTGTTTTGCCCAAGTGGACTTACCTCTGGAGTAATAGCTGAACAGTGTTTCAGAACCTGTGCTTCAGTTTCCACTCATTTCTGAATGGCTCAAACCCCATGTAAAAACACCTTTTGCTGCTCTGAATAACCTCATAGAAGACCACGAAGAGGAAGCTTTTCCTAAGCTTAACCTTGAATTCAGTGTTATGAACTGTCTGGATCTGGAGTTGATACTACTTTTTAAAATTATTCTTCAAAAGCAGTGAGTACATGGCTGTGGAAGAAGGATGGACTCATGTAAGCCACATCTTTTAAAAACATTCTAAAATAGATTAGATATGTAACCATGTTCCCCCACCATATATATTTATGGAAGAGTTGAGAGCTATCTGAGAAAGGGGTAAAATTCAGAACCATTTTCACCTACGGAATTCCTTCCCAGCATCATTCCCTTAGTGAATTGCTCCTAATGGCTTCATGCTGTAAAGAACATGATGATGTTCCATCTCTTTAAAGAGCAAGGCCTAGACCTGAATGACCTGTCCTTAAAAAAAGAAAAAAGAGAAAAAAAGGTGTAATCATTTCCTTCTGCTCTCTGCCCCCCCCACTCTCCCTTCTCTTTGGACCATCTCTGAGACACAGTCAGTGGTACAGACTGTCCAGACAAGTAATTTCATTTGCCTTCTCTGTTTGTTCACAGTCAAACGCCCGTGTGTTCCCACTGAGTACAAAGACTGTCACTTTGTTTTTTCTATAGTACCTGAAAAGGGTTGCTTTTGCTATGGGACTGCATTCATAACCAAATGCAATCTGATATAAGGAAACCATGTTCAGGTAAAATGTCCCTTGTTTTTTATGATACATATATTTTATTGAAATCTAAGAATTGCTGGCAATTATGAATAGTACTGATTTATGGCTTTCATTCTTGTTGTTACTACAAGCTACCTTAATTTTTCTAAGAGTGGTGCCTTACTCTTTCTTCTGATGTAGTCTTCCAATCAGTGTATATACCATAATCTGTCACCTTCTGGTTCTTGTCAATAGCGGGGCTTCTCCCTATCATGAAAATTGGGTGTGTGCTGGTCAAGTATTTTATTATTTTTCTTCCATATTAAGGGAAACATCAGATTGTATCCAAGAGTGGCTAAATAACCATACTTTTTTTCCCACAAAGGCTATGGAGTGTGCCGAGAAAGAAGTTTGGGGTTTTATGCACATGTGTTAAGATTCCCTTGTACTTTTTTTTTTTTTTGCTGTGAATGCACTGAAATCTTAATGCGAGCAGTGTACAATTCCATGTATAAGAAATGGAGAGGAAAGGAAATAAAACTACCAAATGGAACTATTTGTTTTGTCTGCTTTCAGAGTAATGATACAATTGATACTGACTGCATATTGAGCTTTATATTATGAAAACCAGCTTTCAGAATATTCCAGCTCTTAAGAGTCCTGAAAATCCTTGCTCCCTCTTACTATGCATGAATATGTGAGTGTGTGTGCACACACATGGAAAATAGAAGTCATCACTTCACCACTTAAAAACTGCTGTCACCAGATTTCTACAAGAGCTAGTGCCTTTCATAATGATCTTAAAGATATGTACTTCAAGAAAGTGATACTGGTTTCAAGAGAACTTAAGTTCCTGGTGTGCTAAAGGTTGCAATGTTAAGCCAGGTTCCAAAGAGCATCATAACCTTGCCCCAAGGCACAGAAATCTTCCCAATGTAATTCTTTTTGCAGTTGTTTGGTACTGTATCAGATGCCAAAGCATCCTGACAGTCATAGAAGGCCTAAGAACTAAAAGGTCCTGCCCTGAGCACCCCTGAGTCTAGTTTTTGTGTATGGTTTCGAAATTCAGCAGACCCACTTAAATAACAAGTTATCTCTTTTATCATGTAAAATTAGGCTCTAGCTGAAATGGAAGAAAAGGCATCTCTAACTGAAATTAGAGAAGGAAGATTGCAGAAGACAATCTGTTTCTGGACCCATTGTGCTATTGCTGTTGGTTCCTTTGAATGATGCAACAAAAGTGTCCAACAGCATGTGCTAGAAAATTTGCTTATAAAAAGAACAAGACAGTTCTGTTTTTACCTGATTAACACCTAGCTGTCGATTTTTTGTGTTACCCAATAATAGGCTCGAGTCTCTATGCATTACCCTGCATAAAAATGAACATTGAAGACAAATCTTTAAAACCTTTTAAAAGTTTATTAACTGTTAATCTTTAAAAAAAATCCAATTGCTCTGAGTTACATTCAGCATTGCATGAACCTGAGCCCAGTGGAATGTTACCGTCTCTCCACTGTAGACCCTTTTTGTCTTCTCCGAAATGTGCTCTGCTCTGAGGAGTCTCCCAGCCTTCTGGAGTAGATTGGGGGGCACAGAAGTGAGGGGAAATTCCTCCCTATACTTCTGACAGAAGCCTCCTGACAGCAGAGAGAGACTCAGATTTCACCCAATAACTTTACATTAAAAATGAATATAAAATGATTTATATATTGTACCAGACATAACATTAATAGAGTGGATCTGCCTTCTTGTCAGTAAATAAGATCTTATTAAATATTTTTAATTCACTGATAAATCTAAATGGCGGGGTTGCTGTATAATTTTTTTTTTGAGTGGCATGTCCAGTGGTACTTCCACCCTGCTTTTCTTTCTCCAGTCACTGGATGTCCCTGTGACTATCTTGACCCTCATCTCTTGAACAACCGATTTTGCTTGCCTCATTGTCCATGTTGTTATTGTTGAGGATGTCATCGCAATCTGTTTGTGCCATCAGGTTAAACCGCTCTGCCACACAGTGGGCCGTGAGTCTTGCTTCAGGGTCGTGATCCCAACATTCTGTGATGGTGTCACACAGAAAATGCATTCCCTGAAATTGAACAAGGAACATGGAAAATTAGCCTAAAGCTAGGGGGAAAGGGAAAGGGTTCTGCCTCACCCCAGTTATTGCTTACTTTTCCTGGAAATGTAAAATAATGAATATTTAGAACCTTCTACATATTACTGATCCAGTAATAGAGCTTTTGCTGTAACGTGAAACTTCCTTTTTAAGGTGCATGGCATGCTGTTCAATTCAAAAATGAATTGTATTATACATGATACTTTTCCTTGTATAAATATATTTCTATTTTAAGAATCTTTCAGCAGAACCAAACATCAACACAACTGCTGAGAATACAAAACAAGAACAAAAAGACAAACACATATACAGCAAAAGGAAAGAAAAAGGGAAAGCATACAGCCACACAGTAATGACCAGAGATCCATTAAATTGATCCTGAAAGTATTACTAATAATACTTTGGCATACATATACCCACACCTATATTTTCCATCACTAATGTAAGTTGACAAATTTACTGGAAAACTAATGAGCCTTAATTTCTGAAGGCATGTTTTAAAAATATTAGAGTGATCTAAAATATTCATTGGATTTCACAATTGAAACTGTATTTAATGCTTCATAATAACTGGTGGTAAAGGATTTACTAACCTGCCCCCCATCCTTATAGGGAGAAGACAAGTCAGTGCAAATGTACTAGGTTCCATGTTACACTCTGCGTCAAGTAGAATTCTCACTTCCCTCAGATCACATCCTCCCCACCAGAGTTGCTAAGTTTTCTGCATGTAAAATGCATGACTGTTCTCAGTGTCCTCCAGTTTTCCTAGGCCTCCAAGTGCTTGGGAAGGTGGGAAGGTAGAATCCACTTCACTTAGGACTTCACTTGGGGAAGCATTTGGCTTTGGCAGGATTGTTTTAAATTTAAAAAAAATTGTCACAAACCTCTTTTAAAATAAAGCTTTGTTTTTTACAATTTACATTTTTATCACCTTCATATTTACAGTCATGTAGGATCTGCTTTCTGTAAATTCCAGCCAAGATGCTATTGCTGGAAATCTAGAATTTCTATCTTTTGTATTACAAAGGTTATACAACATTTAGCTCTGTCTCCCAACTGCAGTAATCTTTTCATTTTCTTTTCAAAATGCAGTTTCTTTTCTGCTTGACCTTTTAGTCTGACTTATTGAAAACCTAGCAATACCCAAAGTACTCAAACACATGGCTGCAGCCAAAAACCTTGGCAGCTTGTTCGACCTCCTCCTCAATGTGTCTTCCTGACATTCAAACATTGTGTGATTTCATACCCAAGTGTTACTAGACATTAGAGGCGGTTTGGAGGAAACTTAGTAGATGGCTGCTGTTTTCGTTAGCCGTCACACATTATCCAAAGCGACAAGGGGGTGTCCCTTGTGCTGTGAATCACAAAAAGTGTTCTGCTGTTATATGTCTCAAAATTGTACTGCTTATAAAAATGACACCTGTAGGTAATAACTCTACCTGGCCAGATCTTCAATTATACAAAATTTCAAGCAGATCCAATACAAACTGACATAGATATAACAAATTAAAAAGTCCTGAAAACTGACACATTTGTATTTTAACTCAGCAGCTCAGTGAAATTCTGAACAGCAAATTTAAAATTGATCAAGGTTCTTCTGTTCTGTGAAACCCTATAGCAGCAGTTGCTTCCAAAGTTAGGTCAGGCATGCTTCGTTTCACTTTTCAGCTTGAATGCTGCCAGGACAATGTTTTCTTGAATCCTTCTATTTCTGTTAGCGTTCTTACAGAAATTGCAGGAGTGTTGTTTGAGATAAGAGGGAGTGATTTGGAGCCAAAGGACATCACTTACAAAGTCCTCATTACATGGCTACCTATGATGATGAACCATAGATGGTTGTTCTATTATGCAAATCCATACCAATTTCTCCAGAATTGTTTGTTTGAGGGCAGCAAACCACCCATAGCTTGCTCTAGGGTTAGTTGTATGCACAACCCATCATGTGTTCCTGAGAAAAAGCTAGCAAACCACTGACAAGAGTGCCAACAACCCATCATTGTTCTTGCCAAACTCCCTCAGGGCAGTGTTACTCACCATCATGAGTCAATCAAGAGCCATTGTAGCATTTTTGTCCAGCTTGACTTTTGGAACACACGTTTTGAAAGCCACAATCCCTCAGGGTGCCAAGCAGCATTTTAGAGGGGCTGTCCATGGTTGCAAACCCTTTTTTAAACTCCCTAATAGGTACAATTTTTTGTGTTTTTAAACATAGGTCTTTCACAAGTGTGCACCTACACTTACGGATGTCCAAAAGAATGGCAGCTTCACCTGGGCCATGTTCAGGTATCGAAGTGTAGCAGAGACCAACCTTGGTCATTGACCCAGAGAGATTCCAATAGTACTTTTTCCCTGTGGTTTGCTTTGTGGGAAACAGATATGCTTGTACTGCAAGTGATTTGTGCTCACAAAAGGAGGATGGTGGAATTCACACATCTTCTGCAGCAAAATCATTTTTTAAATTGTATTTTGTGTGTGTGTGGGGGGGAGCATACTCTCATTTTCCACTTGTTACTAAAACCCTGGTTGCCCAGAAATACTGAAAAGTGCAAGCCATCCCTTTGGAAAGGAACTACCATTTCAATAGCTAGCTCTCCAAATGCCACCTTCTGAAAGAGGATTTATTTGACAGGGACCCATTTTCTTCATGCACGTACGCAGGCATGAATGTGTATGCCGCATCGAAAAAGCCATAGGGTTGTACAAGCAACACACAGGCTTGCATCAGCGCACTGGAGGAGTCCTCTAATCCAGATGCTTCGTAAAGTAATATACGAATGGGGTGGCACCTTCACTGGCCCCAGGTACTCCATCCCTCCCCATTTCAATCTGGAGCTGAAGAACCCAAAAAAGTTTGGGTACAATGAACTGTGGAACCAAACACAGTTTGTGATAATGCACAACGTCATTACTGATCACAAAACACATCTGCTAAGGCTTAGCCTTCAATTTCCTCACTTTGGAGCTTGGGTGAACAAGAGATAGCTTTCATTCATGTCTTGACCTGGTTGTTGTTGTATTTAAATTAAATATAGAAGAGCTGCAGTTGACAAGTTCCGAACAATAGTTAAATTTTAAATAGTACAATCCCTTGCTTTAACTAGCTTATCTTTTCTTTTAAAGCAGGGTGCACGTACCTGAAAAACAATCTGCTATAGAATTTCCTCATGCTTGTACTCACCTTCAGAAGAGGTGAAAATGGTGGGCACCTGTAACGGCCTTTTGTAGAACAGCTTCCCAGCTTTGGAAGGCCCCTCACCAAGAAGGTAGTGCTCACTTAATCCCTAGCAACCTTGAGTTGGCTGATGAAGAGTGAACTTTTCAATAGATAGTCTTCCAAGCTTTTAAAAACAGTGTCACACTCTTCTTATTATTCCCTGGGTTTAAAATATGCTTTAGTCTTTTATATTTTTATACTTTTATGTATACTAATGTTTGTATTTTTATTATTCTACTTGAACTACTCATTGAGTGGGGGTGATGCAAATATACTCTGTATATAACTTGGACTCTTAGGAATAGTGAATAAAAATCTGAAACCTTTAGGATATATATACAGTGGTACCTCGGTTCACGAACGCCTCAATTCATGACCAAATCGGGTTAGGAACAAAAATTTCATAAAAATGTTCACTCAGGTTGTGAACTCCACATTGGGTGGCGACCGCGATCATGGCCATCTTCCCACCCCCAAGTGGGGAGATGGCCGCAATCATGCTGGGCATGGGGGTGGGGGGGAGATGGTCGCAATCTTGTTGTTCTTTGTCACTTTGCTTCACATTTTTCTGATTAAAAAAGAATAGTTACAGAACGGATTAACCTTATTTACATTGCACCTTATGGGGAAATTTGACTTGGCTCACGACCAATTTGGGTCATGACCAGAGTCCTGGAACGGATTAAGTTTGTGAGCCAAGGTACCACTGTATATCCTTGCAATGCCCACAGCCAACTATACTATCCATCTGATAGTTTTTGTGCTAAATGATACTTCATTGTTCTCAGAGAAATAGTGAAGTACAGTGCTAGTCTGCCCTGTGTGTAATCTTTTATTCACTGTGATTCTCCATGGACAAAAGGTAGCTGATACTTACTTCAGTAGCTATTTCTAACAGTATAACTTCAGAGCAGGCTAAGTAGTTTTCACTTACCTACCCCAAAAGTGTGATCTCTTCAAAGCCCATGGAAAGGATCTGTGAGCAGATGGGCTGGTGGAAGCAGGTGGAGGCAAACCAGGGAGGAGTGGGAGGGGGCCTGGGGCAGTATTAAAGTATCAAAGTAAAGAACCTTTGAGATACTGACCTGAGAGAAGTGCTGCTCTTGGGTTCCTGCCACCTGTGGTAACCTGCAATGCAGACATCCCCTCTCTCTCTGTCTACCTTTATCATTTACCTGATGCACCAGCCAGCTGCTCGGTATCTCTGGACGTCCTCGACCATGCAGTACAATGTCTCTCATTACCTCCATGCAGGGTTGCTCCCGGACCTTGGATCCAAATGGTAGCTCATGGCTCTTGACCTCTGTAGCAAAGCAGTGTTGGTATGGATCAGATACAAAACCAGCTTAAATATGGGTACCATTTCTACATGCCTGCTAGGGTAGAGCTAAGATGCCACCAAGTGCATTCACAGGAAGCAGCTGACTTCTTGATGAAGTCTAAGTGGTGAAATGAGTGAAAGGCCCAGCTGATAAACAGTTGTGGAAAAAAGCCACACAGTCAGAATGATGCATAACAGGTCTTCCTGTAGGACACAGCAGAGGCTGCTAATTCTCATCACTTCTGTACTTTGGGTTAATCACTTGTAACTAATCTGCTCAGTAGCAGATTCTGAGTAACCACAGTGGGCTCAGTCACCTGAGTTGGAACAACAGAACAATCAATTGGACTAGAACAACCTATGCTTTGTCAAGGTGGTTTGTTGCCCTCAAAGAAGCCATGCTGTGGGAAACAATCCAGGTTTAGTATAGAGACATAGAAAACAGAGCGAGTCAGAAGGGGCCTCCCGGGCCATCTGGTCTGACCTCCGGCACCAGCCGGCTCCGCTCATGACATGCCCACCATGTGGACGTCCAGCCTATCCTTGAACACCCGCACCGATGGGGCCTCAAAAACCTCCCATGGAAGCCCATTCCACACCCTCGGGGTCCTAACTGTCGGGAAGTGCTTCCTGGCATCCAAATGGAACCTTGTTAGTAGTATGTTACCTACTAACCCAGTCACTCTTTCTCTTTGCAGTAGCTCCACCAGCAGCTATCCAGCTGTGTCCTCTTGTTTGCTTAGCGGTAGATTAGCTGCTTTGATCTGGGCTACCAAAGAAGGGGCGACAGGTAGAGTTAGGAGATCTGCAGTTCCACTATAGTAAGGTGGAGTGGAAAGGCAAATGTAGGAACCATCAGTGAATTAGCTGTGGTGAGGGACAAACCAAGAAGCAAACTGCAACTTGTGTAGCTAGGCCCAATGGTGTGCCACACCAGGGACTGGGGGGCTGGGGAGAGAGTGAGCAACACAGGCCTGTGCCAGGAGATGTTACAGCACTGTGTAGAGCGGAGTGCTCTCTGCACTGAGAAAAGATCATCCCAATTCAGGCCCCTCGGGAGGTTATGGAATTTTGCCTTCTTGTCAACTGATTGAAGGACTGACAAAAACCTTGCTTGGGTGATGTGAAGGGCTGGGATTACATTGCCAGACTTACACTGCCCATACGGCAGAGGTGGAAAGCCTTTGTCCTTGATGTCATTGAACCAACATGCCCAATGGTCAGGGATGATGGGAATTGTAATTAATATCTGGAGAACCACCAGCCTCATGGGCCTGTAAGGAAGCAAGACTTGGAAGACAGATGCTGCTGATAAAGTGTCTTACCTCCTATAGCGTCACACCTAGAGGCTATCTCCCATAAAACCAGAGCCATGGAATAGACATCCATTTGTTTGAAAGACTCCAGATCTTCAAGATTCACTCTGGATTCCAAGACTTCAGGAGCCATATATCTGGCAGTCCCAACCTGACCAAAAATGGAGTAGAAATTGGAAGGTGTGTGTGAAAGAGAAAGCCATGTTGCTTCCCAGTTAAAAGGAGGCTGCAATGCACATTGTAAAATCTGATACACGAGAATCTTTTAACTACAAAATGCTCTATCATAGGCTTTGAACACAGCGGATTTTTACAGCCTATTCATAGTATATGGAACTGCTCCATCCTTTTACCTTCCAGTTTTGTCCAAGGATACGATAGACTTTATATTGTGAGTTAAACCTTTGCTATTGTTTTTCCCCCACAAACAGATCCCACCTATCAATTTTGAACTGAAAAACAATACTTTGGAGTGTGAGTTAAGAAAACTAAGAACAAAATTAAATATGAAAAATAATTGGATACAACTTTTCGTCTTATTTTGCTTTAACTAAAAGAACCTTGAGCAACTGTGGGCATGTGGAGATTGCTCAACTCTTCTGTGGGTAGTTTTCTACTCAGCTAAGTTCGCATAATCCTTCCTGTGCGCAGCACACACACACACCTTCTGCTGTTTTTCACACCATAGTAGAAAAGAGTATATCAAGGAAAGAATGAAATCCAAAAAAGCTAGAGAGGGATGGATTACATAGCTAGACCTCTCAGCATTTTATTGCGGGGGGGGGGGGTACATGTCTGTATATTCTCTCTAGAATAGGGGTGCAGATCTCCCTATTCTAGGGAGAATATACAGATGTTTTCTGTATATTGTCCAGATGTTTGCTTGTTTTTGAAATATACTGCTCAACTGAAATATACTGCTTTCCAATTTGAAATATACTGTTGCCATGTGCCCTCAGGGCACAATACAACAAAATGCCCAAATCAGCTCTACACAACCAAACCAATAAATGCAACAATAAATGTACTGAAATGTTGTCAAACATTACAAGCAGTCATGAGCCAGCCATCTAGTTAATAATCAGAGAACCAGATTAGACATTAAATGTCTCCCGGAAAAGGAGAGTCTTAATTATCAACAAGGTTGTAACAGCTGATAGGAACACAGGGAGATGTTGTTGGGCTAAATCATCCCTGGCCATATTATCTGAGGCTTGTAGGAACTGAAGTCTGGCCATACCTGGAGGCTTCACAGATTCCCCAGCATTGTTCTGTAAGAGGCCTATATGTCATTCAGAAACAACAACAAATGTGATCCTAAGCCATTACTGTATGAGCAAACACAAGGATTACTGTAAGAAGTAATGTATAAAGTTGCCATTTGAGATGTAACAACGAAAACAATCTGCAATATCTGGTAGATCACTGCTTGCAGTACCTTGGAAAGGTGCAGCAACTTTCCTTTGCTATCAGAACTGCTGTCCTCAAGCAGCAGGACCCACCAGGAAAACTCTATTCCCTGAGCAAATGCCCCAAAGCAGCAGAGCCGGCCAACGCCTCTGACACCCCCTGCCCAGATGGGGGCGCCATTGGCCAAGTTCCGCTCCAACTGAGGTAGTAAGTACTGGGTTGTGGGGGGTGAATACCAGTTGCATGAGGGGCGGTCTACATTAGTGTTATTGCCAACCTTTCCACAAGGAACTCAAGGCAGCTAACATGGTTAGAAACAGAGCTAGTCAGAAGGGGTCTCCTGGGCCATCTAGTCTGACCCCTGGCCCCAGCTGGCTCCACTCACGACATGCCCACCATGTGCATGTCCAGGGTTGTGTCCCTCTGCATGGCTGTTTCTCACTGGCAACTGGGTTTGCTGAAAGGACTTTCTGTTGGGAAGGCATGGCCTTAAAGGCGTTGCTGAGCACACTGGGACTCAGATCCCACTTCTGCCTTCTGCTGAGTCCTATGAGCATGTCCCTTGCCCTTTGCCACACCACCTATGGCTGCCATTGTAGTGCCCTGGACTGTTTCTTATATTGCAAAATGGACTCATGGCCTTAACCCTGAAAGGCATCCAGACGTCTTGCGCTAATGTGCATGCAGCAGGACTGGCTCCCACCAGACCTGTGTCCCATCCCAAATCTGCGGTGCGCCTACATTCCAATCTATACGTTTTGGAGCGTGAATTGGGCACAGGTCTGCTGGCAAGAAAGGAACAATTTGGGAGAAACAGGGAGGAACAATGACCTGATAAGTAGGCCAGGCCAGGCAAGGCAGAGGTACAGGCAAAACCGCTTGGTAGTCAGAAAAGTTGTTTTGCTTATCAAGAAAGAGGAGTTTGCTTGGGGAGCGAAGCTGCAGCCCAGACTCTCACAGACTCCCCTCCCCGTCTGAGGCCCACCCTCCTGGTGAAGGTAGTAACACAATGTGATGTACTGATTCTGTTAAATGTGTCCCATGGATTATCAAGTGTTTTGGCTCAGTGTCTCCTGCTTGATGGAATCTTATTTTTCTCAGAGAATTTTGTTCCACTAACACTAAAGATGTGAATGAATGTGCACTTGTACAAACGTGCAAATGCACTAAAGTGCGTTCGTGCCCATTCAAGTCAACAGCGTGGTTTCTGGAGTGGGGTCAAGTGTGTGGCCCACACGGCCCTTCACAGCTCCCGTCTACTTTCCATCAAGCGTAACGGCATGTTTTCTGGTTTTGTTCCACAGCACTCACCTGTCCACTGTTAGCAAAATCTTCCACGGATAAGGATGGATCTAGCCTCAAGGCGATTCCAAAATCACAAAGTACACATTCCTGTCTGTTCTTCATTAAGATGTTGGTGCTTTTGATATCTCGGTGGGCAATGGGGATCTTTGGAGTGCCGCAGGTGGTGTAGTCACTGTGTAAGTGAGCCACGCCACTCACGAGGGAGCCAGCGGTATTTTGCAAGTCCCTCCAGCTCAGAATATTCTTGGACAAAAAATCCTTGAGATTTCCCTCACTGTGGTAGGCTGTGATAAGCCAGTACTCTTTCTGGAGGCCAGAGTATCTCTCCTCTGCAGTGAAGAACTGGAGGATGCTCTCGTGCTTAAGGTTGGTATCGGCGAGGATCTGGCTTTCATTCTTCCAGGAAGCATAATCCTCACAAGGGAAGATCTTGACGGCCACTGTCTCATACTGGCCAGTGGAGGCATGCTTCAGCTTTGCCTTCCAGACCTCAGCAAACTGCCCTTTCCCCACTCGCTGGTCCAGTTCGATGGGCAAGAGTTCAGTGTTAGGATTGAGGCTGTTCGCATGGACGGGGCTCATGGCAGAGTGGCTGTCTATCTTGACGGAGAGGATCTCATCATAGCTGGTGGCTCTGCTTGGTTCAGACAGGGCATGACGCTGGGCTTGTTTCTGGGCCCATTCCTTGGATCGCCTCCTCTGCTTATGGGTTCGGCAGAGGTAGAATATTACTGTTATCACGATGGCGACTAGCAGCGGAGGTAACAGGCTGATGGCTGCCACAGGAATTATTTCCTTGCTTTGTAACATGGAATAGCCTATAGTGAAAGAAAAGGAAGAGGGAAAAACGTTTGTGCACATCCAAACTAGCTAATGCAAACATTTTGCAGTGACAGCTACCTAATGTCTTGCCTTCTGTACCACAGGCCCAAGATGGGCCACCAATTTCCTAAATTGCTGTACATTTTTCACCCGTGGTGTTTCTTAGTTTGCTTTCATTCGTGTGCAGTGTGATTATTTTCCCCACCATGCATTCTAATGTGTGCTAGTGGGTCCTGGCAGGCGCTAAGCTTCCTCACACATTAACCAAGTGCTACATTGCTTGTCTGCAATAAGTGACAGGGGACAGGTTCACACGTCATCCTTCAAATAAGCCATAGAAAGTTGGTGGGTTGCTCAACAACCTACAATGTAGGCCTGGCAGATGACTGGACTCGCAGTGCCTTGTTCTGCAAGTCACCTGGGCTGGGGCGCAGGTTCACTTTCCAGCAGGACAATGACCCCAAGCACACAGCCCAAGTAACCCTGGAGTGGTTTAAAAGCTAGATCCTGAATGTCCTAGAAAGGCCTAAGTCAAATCCACACCTCAGTCTGATTGAGAATCTGTGGCAAGACTTGAAAGTTGCTGTTTAGCGATGGTACCCATCCAACCTGACACAGGTGGATAGTTTCTTCAGGAAGAATAGGCAAAGGTTGCAGGAACCAGATATGCAAAGCTGATGGACTTCCCAAGAAGACTTGCAGCTCTAATGGTTGCCAAACACATTTCTTCAAAGTGTTGACTTTGGGGTGAGTACTTGTACAACCACCAAATGCCAGTTTGCTTTTGTTTATTTAATTTTTGTACCACAGGGAAAACATTTTGCACCGTTACAGTGTTGAGTATCTTGGGTGCGTCAAGTGGTAACAGTGTCCATTCAATCCATTTCAGTTCCAGGTTGCATCATAACCAAATGTGACAAAATCACAGGAGGCTGAATACTTCTGCAAGGCCCTGCATATAGCCATCATGGCTTATATCGACTGACAACCTTATCCTTCATGAATTTGCCTAATCCAGCCTTATCCAACCTTCAGGTGTTTTAGATGACAACTCCCCGTATTCCTGATCACTCACAGTGTGGGCTAGGACTGCTAGGAGCTAAATTCCAAAGCATCTGAAGGCCACCAGTTTGGGGAAAGCAGAGCTTATCCCCCTTCAAAGCCATTCCACTTGGTAGCCATCACGAAACACCGTGGTAACAAATTCCATAATTAGGTATCCAACAGTGCGAAGAATCATTTCCCTTTATCTGTCCTGAACCTCCCCCATACTTTCTCCATACCATATTGAGAGTATACCTATCCCAGAAATATATTGCTAGAATCCTTGTGACAGCCGACCTTGGTTTTTGCAAGACCAATTCATTTCTGGCACTTGGAAATACAGAGAAATTGGAGGCAATGATTTCCTTTTCTTTACATTTCAGCATTTGCTTTCATAGAAAACAACTGCCTGCCGATCCTTCGTCAGGCTCCTTGAACAACCACTGCTACAAACTGATGACTTTGCAACCAAGAGGCAAAGCGTGTGTGTGTGGGGAAACACACTTAAGCGGCTCCTGGGAGTTATGTACACAGCTATTACTTCAGTGCTCACCCGCAGCACTCCTTAAAAATGCTCTGAAAATATTCTGCTTTCCACTGAGTTTCACAGCTCAGTGATGTTGTCATACCCATCAGGTAAATCCATTAGAGTAGTGGGAGGAGACAGCCAGGCCTCACACTTTCCAAAACGAACTTAAATTCTATCATCTGAGGCTGATCTTGCGGTTTGAACTCCATGCCTATTTTAGAAACATTCGCAGTTTAGCAGAAGTTAGCTGGGGCAAATGGTGTTTGGAAACTGCCAAGGAAAACAGCCACGTGCTCTGGGTTTCTTTTTCCAGTATCGCAATGGTAGACTGCACCCACTGAGGTCATTCAGTGCTTCAGGGACAGTTCCTCAGCTTCTCTTCCCTGGCTATTATATTTGGCCAAGAACCCTCTCAATAAGTTTTTATTTGAATTTCACCATGAGCAGGAGGGAACCACACGTATATCTTTGCAGTGGGACAAAGAGATTGTCTCTCAACTGGAACAATTCCATTGGCCCTCGGGACGTTTCTGAGCTGCGTGCGGTGTGTTGGGCTTAACCTTCATGACTGAGGACACAGACAGCTACTGAATTGCCACCTCCCACACTGATGATGAAGAGGTGTGTGGGGGGGGGGCAACCAGACAGTATTTTCACCAGTGGCTTCTTGCCTTTGGGGTGTCCTGTCCAGCAAGGTCTGCTTGGTGCTCTCGTCACTAACATTTAGGGGCTAGGCAAGTGGCAGGGTGGGGGGGGGGGGGCATTTTTCCAGGCTCTTAAATAGGGCCAACATAGTGCTAACAGCCCTGCTAACTTCAGGCAGTTTTAATTTGCTATCAGACTGCAGGTGTTTTGGTCTGAATACTTATTTTATTTTTATTGTCTTATGTAGTGTTCTTCCCTTAGAAAAAAGTTATACTAGGGCCATTTATATTCCAAAGGTCTGGAACAAATGAGTTACCAGCTTTTTCCATCCCTGTTCTCTCAGATTTCCATGTTCATGATCTGGGAGCTGAGTTTCTATAAAGAGGATTCCACTCCATCAGCAAAATGATTTGGCGCTGTCACCTGGAGTCCTTAGGAAGCTGCTTTATGCTGAATCAGCAGACTACGATTTGCTTTTGATTATATTCCGACTGGCTGCAGCTCTCAAAGTCTCAGGCACCCACCTCGACTACTACCTTCTGCTTAGTCATTGTTCATTTATTTATATACCATGTTTTTTGCAAATATGTTGGGATGGATCCGGGGTTTAGTAATACTCAGGGTAGACCCACTGAAATCAGTGGGATGAGCTACCCTTGACTAGACTTCAAGAGTTCTAACAGGAATGTTGATCGGTGGTACTACATCAGAGCTGTTCGAATTAAAACAAACAGCCTTTCAATCATGCTAGTCAACTTTTTGTAAGCATAAGTTATGATTCAGCTGTAGGTCCTGAAGTGAAAAGTGATTAATGGGGGCAATTTTGTTTTTAAAGCTGCTTAAATGTTGTTAGAACATATGAGGCCAGATTGCATAACCTGCTGCTTCTGTCTTTTTATCAGTGCTGTGATGATATGTTGATTCACTTGGGCTGCAGCAGAATTCCACTGACTCAGCTGAGAAACCCGTTACATTGGGCTCTCCGTCCATGGTCTTCCAGCAAACTACCTTGCTTGTTTCCGTCCCAGCCAGTCCACATAGAACAGTTACTTGTAGAACTGCGTTTGCTGTCTGCGTTTGCATTTCTTCCTCTTCTCTCCCAGTTCTATTTTCTTGGGATGTACATAACAACAATCCAGAGTTTGCTTATGATTTGCCTGCCAGACAATTGCATAAAGTACAGGGTTTTTTTTCCAGGTTCTGGTCTGTTTGATTCTCTCTTTCTGGACATTCTGTCCTTGCATCCCAAATCCCTTTGGACTGTGGTACTGGCATGTAGAATGGTGCTCTCACTCTCCCCCTCTCCCCCACCCTGTGTGTGTGTGTGTGTGTGATCATTTTTGCTCACTGCCTCTGTAGCTTAGCAAAACAATCCCTGAACAACCCATGGTTCTGGGTTTGCATATGATAACAAACCCTCATTAAAACTCTTCACAGTTCAAAACCATCAGCAAACCACGAGCTTTCTTCTTGTGTCACATGTGGTTAACAACCCATAATTAACCTATAGACCTGTATTCACATGTAATGGCAATCTAGCATTCAGCAACCCATATTGAAACTATACTCTGGGTTGTGATTATATGTAAGCCAGTGTTGCATCTTTTAGTATTAAAGCCTTTATTATTATTATTACTATTACTATTACTATTACTATTAGTATTATTAATCTGTAGGATGCTCAAAGAGCAGGGTAAAAACTACCTTTCAGCTGAGGTACTGAAGCTTCAAGTTTCAACTGCATCCTTAAAGAGGAAAACCCGCTTAAATCCCTGCAGTACCTTTTAGCCTAAATCGAGCAGATCCTCAATTAGGGAGCAGGGTCAGAGACAGACATCTATGCCTGCATGTTGTTTCTTCCCACACACAACCCAGGCTGATTTATTATTGATTTTATTATTTTGCCTGGCAGGGAAACTTTCAGTGGAATGTTCAGAAGGTGAGGGTTTGCCATCCCTATTTTTAAGCTATACCAGGACACAGAGCCAATTCCTTGCAAAGTTAGAATCTGATGAGATTAATACAGAAAGCTATGGCTAGTTGTAAGCCTAAGAAGAGGAATAAGTATGAATATTCATGCTTGTTTGAAAATACACTTAGGGAGTCATACCATCTCCATCAGGCACAGTATTGTCTGCTGCACGGGTGGGATTTTTTTTTTACTAGAATCTTGAGATCCACCAACGAGATCCAAGAGCAAAAGTCTTGCCATCTGAATTGGACCAACCTGAGCCAGAAATACTAGAGTTAAAGTCACAGTCCTTCTATGTTATATTCCAGTCCTGATCACAAATAACTGGGAATCAGAAATTCTGTCTGAGCTACTTCAAATATCTGAGACTGGCAATTAAATCTGGACTGATCTACCACCTGCCTACCCCTGATCAACTCCAGCAGCCAGTTCCCTGCAAGGTCTCAGGTGGATAAAAGGTTTTTCTTGTCTTGGAACTTGATATATTTTCACTGGAGGAACCAGGAGTTAAGTTTTGGGTCTTTTATAAGAACTTTGTGAAATAACTGAGGGAAAGGAATGGGGGAATAGTTCTTAAAGCCAGCTGTATGTTATTTGCTAGATGTTCACATTTGCCCCAGAAAGGTGGGATGAGATGTGAGAGTTTGTGTGAACACAAATTTCTTTTCAAAGCAAGATATACACGTCTGGGCACCGAAGACTGAAAAGTATGGAAACCTGCACAGGTATGACACCAACCATTAAGAAGACTCACCGTTGGTATGATTTTCAAATATAAGTCTGTCATTGCATTCCTGCTCATTGACACAGCCACAGATGTAAAATATCCCATCCTCGTTGTGCTGACGGACCATGACGCACCGTGATGTGTTATATTTGAGAACCATGACATTTTCCACAGGGAAATGTGGATTGTGACAGAGCGTGCTCACCCGAACACTCTGATTGTCTTGTTTCCTGCAATGTGCAACATGAGACAAATTGGCCATTGCAAAGGCAAATCAGTACAAATCCAACGTGACCTCCTGCAGTCTTCCCCAGCAAACCTGGTGGGCAACAACACCCATCTTGCCCCAGCTAGCTATGGGGAGTAGCCAGGTTGGGGAGGGGCCTCTTTTCAGCTTCCCCAGTGTGAATTCATTTGTGAAGACAAATCTGAACATACTCTCCCAGCTGCAGTCTCCCACGAGACTGCGCTTCCATTGTCGTGTGTTGAACCCAAGCAAGTCCTGCTACTTGGCAGCTGTGTTTACTCTTACCACACTCTGATATGATCTTTGTCATTGCTGCTTCTGTGTGTTCTCAAACAGATGCGGAAAGGAGCTTATCACATATAAAAGAACTCATTTGAGGGAAAGCAATCAGAAACGAAGGCGGATGCTCTGGTTTGACTGCTGTGGGAAGTGGGGGATGAGCAAAGCAGAGGGGCAAATGAAGAGCAGCTTGACGAATTCGGTGCTCCAAGCAACCAAATAATCTGATCCTTGGAGAGACAGGCTATGGAGGAGAGTATACAGCCAGAAGAAGCTTGAAGGGGAGCTGGGGAAAAGGAGGCAGGCATTGCTCTCTTGCACAGGATGCTCCTACCAAAAGCCCTATCAAAGGGGGTTCTGTGGTTTACTGACCCCACAAGGAACTGCACGGTGATTTAAAAAATGGGGCCTAGGGATCAGCAGTGACTTAAGTGGGGGTGAGACCAAGATGTAAAGCTAGTAGTGACACATCCTAACACTGCTCTCTGTGTGTGTGTGTGTGTGTGTGTGTGTGTGTGTGTGTGTGTGTGTGTGAGAGAGAGAGAGAT